CTCTTCATATACATGTTCCCTGTTTGGGTTTCTCTTCTATCAAGTACTCATCATTCTTTGTTCAGTTTTCTTTACAATTCAGCAGTTGTGGGTATATTCTAGATACAGATCATTTGGAAGTTTTGCAAGTACAGGTATTCCCGCTTTTTGGAAGTCTGTGTTAGGCCACTTTACTTTTACAAAAAACTTACATTAGTACCCATTTTTGCTAACTGAAAGATATGAGAGGATTTTCACTTTCACAAAAAAAGGCACAAGGCCAAATGGTGTTCTGAGTTTTACACCAGTAGCCCTTACAGAGGCAGCGCATATCCCAAGGAGTGAGCGCGGCACCGCCAGGCTCCTTTCCCGGGAACTACCCTCAGCGTCTCAGCATCAACCACCTCAGCCTCCGTAACTCTGCATGGTGTCTGTGAGCATCTGTGCTTTATCTTGGTTTATTTTCTGCATCTGTTAGCAAGATGTACCCTGAAGAATCAGAAAAACCTAAGACGGGTTATTTTGGTGTCTGGGAATGCTAAAATTTTCCATATAAATTTCCATTCTACACAGTTTTGGTTTACTGAAGTTTTCATAGGAACACTGTACCTTCAGAGAGGGGGGAAACCTGTATCTTCTCTGAGCCTGTCATTCGTTTGTCATCTTTTATTGACAAACATCTTTAATTCTGATATAAAATTAGTATGTACATTTTCTCCATATGGTTTGTGCTTTGGGAATTTTATTTAAGAAGCTTCTTCTCTCCCCCAGATCACAACAATATTCTCTGTATTTCTATTAATTTTATAATTTTACCTTTCACATTTAAGACCTTTAAATCCATTGAGAGCCCACCTTTGGACATGATGCTAGTTAGGTATCCTGTTTTTCTCCATGTAAAAAGCCAGTTTTCCAACACCACCTACTAAAACAAACACAGGATTTTTTGTATATTACTTAATTACTAAATACTTTATAGCTTTCACTGCTACTGTATCTTTTCCTTTTAATCACATTATCTAATTGGCTGCTACTCTAGTAGAAAAGTGCTTGAAATTTTTATGAACTATTTTGTAGCTACCATCCTTAAACTTATTTTTAATAGTTTGCTGTTTTCTTAAATACACAGGTGTACCTGAACATCTGAAAATATGACTTAAAAATAATGAGTTTTATAGGTGACCTGGTTCTCTCGGTGGAGCATCCAACACTTGATCTTAGGGTCATGAGTTGGAGCCTCACACTGGGTGTAGCGATTACTTAAAAATAAAATAAAATAAATAAAATAAAATAAATAAAATAAAATAAATAAAATAAAATAAATAAAATAAATAAAATAAAATAAAATAAAATAAATTAAATTAAATTAAATTAAAATAAAATAAAATAAATAAATAAAATTTAAAAAATAAAATAAAATAAAAATAGAGTTTTATTTCTCTTTCCAATACCGATAGTCTCTTTTTTCTTTCCTTATGGTGTAGATCAGAATTTCTAGATCTGTATTAAGCAGTAGCATGACACTGGGCATAGTAAATCTGTTAGTTAGGAAACTGGTTTGGCTACTTTAGTAGAGACCAAATAACAATAGCTGAAGCTGAATAGCTTCTTTCTTATGTGAAGGTCCGAGCTAGCAGGCAGTTCAGGAGATAAGTGGCCCTGCCTCATGAGGTTAACATGCTTTTGATACGCTGCCCTTTCCCACATAGACAGAACTGGGTTGCCATGAGCACAGTGACATTCCGGCCCACAGATAAGGGGAGATTACAAGAGGAAGGCAAGCCCTTTCCTTTTAAGGATGTGGCCTGCTAGTTATAAACTACTGTTTCCAACCCACTGGTCAAAAGTCAGTCCCATGTTCACACTTAGTTGCAAGGTAGCCTGGAAAGTATAATCACTTACCAAAGAAACTACTGCCGAGCTAAAACATGGGGGAGCAGAGGGTTCTGTTAATGAAGAAAGAAGTTGGGAGATGTATATTGTATAGTTGTCTTGCTCCCAAGTCATGGTATATAACCATTACCAAGTAAATAAAATTTCATTGAGAGTTTCCCCAATTAAAAAAAAAAAAAGGTATACCATGTATTTCCTCCTTTTTTTTCAGTGTAGTAAGTTATCAGTGGATTTTTGTGATGCTGATTACTATTCATATGCATATAAGCACATGAGTGAAGAACTTATGATTACATATGGTACTTTAAAAATTTGACTCAAATCATATAGGATATTATGTTTTGCAGAATCGGAAGCACTGAACTTAGTGAAAATTCAGGCTGCAGGAAGGGGATTAACATTTATTTAAAATCTTGCTATATGCCTAGCAATCTGCATGTTATAATAAAAAAATCCATGACATTCAAAAGCCTAACATATGCCAAACTTAATAAAAGTTATTCTTATTCCCACTTTGTAAGAAAACTGAGGCACACAGAAGTTAAGCGATTTACTTAAAGCTATACAACCAGTAAGTGGAAAGACTAGGCTCCAAAGCCTCAGATCTTCCTCCTACTCTCTAAACAATGCCTCTCAGTGATTATTCTTTCAACCATGATAACACACAAGAGGAACTAGGGGAATTAGTGCTTAATTCTTTCCTCAAATTTCAACTCACTACCATAGGGAACTTTTTTATTTACATGGAAAACTAAATTCTGAATTTAATAGAAAACTGGGATTCATACACAGAAATTCATTTTACTTTAGACTTCTTGGAAAACTCCTGTTTTACAAAACTAGGAATGCCAAAAGGCAGTAGATAAAACAATCCATGTGGAATTGAAAGTGAGTTGCACAATACCAAGGTAGTGCTAGAGTCGAAGGAAAATGCCACTTAGTCTCACATTTCCAAATTAAGTATGTATTTATCCTTAAGAATGGATATATATTCTTTATCCCAGTCTCACAATTTCAAAATCATTCAAGGTGAACTGATGCAAAAAAGTTGGCCTGAAATGAAACATATATGTGATACCTGGTATTTCTAAGCTTTCAGGGCTTTGAATATAATTAATCCACTAAAAATGGGAACAAGTCTTTTGATGGAAAAAAGAAAACAAGTGAAAAGACTTTGCAATGAAACAATATGTTTACTGGACTAAGTAAAAACCAAATAATTTATTTCCTGAAAACTGCTATTTCTTTGTAATATACCATCTGTTGGCTCATACCCATAGGATTAAACAGAAAAAAAAATATTTAAAATTTGTTCAAGACAAAGAAAAGGAGTAACTCACCCATCAAATACAAATATACTATTTTATTCTAAGGGAATATTTCTGTGGTTTCTGCAAGGGGAAAACCCAAAAGTGGTTAAAAAAAAAAAGAACAGAAAGAATAATTTAGATGTTTCGCTTGTTTGTTTGATGTTTTTTTTCTCCCCTGGAAATAAAAATGCAATTTTACATAATTTTAATAAAATTTTAAAAAGCAAATAGTCTGACACACATATCAACAGCTACGCTTATGAAGAATGACCAATAATTAATCAAGATTTTCTTTTATGAATTAATTTAGGGTCTGGACAACTCTGTGGACTAACATGCAATTGAAGTCCTGACAGCTATTGACCTGGGTATTGGCTGTTCTCAGTTAAAAGATACAGATTTCTTTTTTTCTCTCTGGTGTTTTCTAACAATGTATCTACTATGCCAACAATATTTGTTCTTGATACAACTACAGAAGGGGAAATGTTAGTGTTTATACAAAACATAAAATCTGTATAGTGGGGGCTATTACAACTGATGTTTCTGGATAGTTTATTGGCAGACTTATCAGACAATCCAGTTGTTTTTCCTCCATATCAAACAAGATCTGAATGTAAGAAGTTTTCCAGTCAGAAATGACAAACACAGATGGAATTAATCATACAGAATTGGGGCAGATTTACTTCTTTCACACAGTTCCTGGTAACCAATATGAAATTTGTTACAGCAGAGGGACAGAACCATCAAGTACACAATGTCAAAAGGCCTACTTTTAAATTTTTATTGTACTTAAATGACTTTCATTTATTTTAAAAAACCAAAACACCTGCCACCCGCATCTAAAAATGGGACATATTGAAAAGTCTTTCAAGGTTAAAATTTCTCAGAGGCTTTTTGGACTTCTCTCATTTCTATTACAAATGGGTCAAATTCACCTCAGCTAAAGAAGTTCTGTGATTGGCCAACATCATAAGACTGAGTAAAATTTTCTGGGGGGAGAAACTGAGAATGGAGATGAGGGAGATGGATTGATATGCCAAACACACCTATGACTTGCAATCCTCATAGAACTACTAAAACAGCTAGAGTTTGGAATAATGCTATAATACCTGCTGTGGATATGATATGCAAGACAGTCAGTGTCTTTATATCCTAACCCCAGAATCCGTATTTTCAAGTTTCTTAGGGCAACAAGATCATCTTCCAAATGCTTTATAGGAACATACTAGGACCTTTTCTATCATAATTCTGATAGCTAAGTAATACTGTGTCTTTGTGGAATCACCCACAGGTTTGCCAGAGTAAGGAGAGAGACTATTCTTTTTGAAATGACAAGGGCCTCCAGAAACTGGTGCAAAGGCAAAATAAGAGGATTTGGGGGAACAGGAAGATAAAACAATGAGAGAAAAGCTGCCATTTGGGGATAAAATGAAAACAAAAGGAGAACCCCCATTTCTGTGTACCACAGCTCATGCTATGAGACAGCAGCAATAAAGGCTGACACCCAGAGAAGTGGGCATTTTAGTGGGTTTTCTACAAACATTTCAAGACACTTGGGGTCTAATGGGCTCCACAGATTTTCTGTGTGCATAATCAGTTTGTGGAGTTTCAGCCCCTTTACCTCAATTTACCCAAATCCAGACCCACAGCTGAGAAGGCAAGACCCAGAAAGTTTAAGGGACACATTACTGTGTGAACAGCAGTGAAGGCCTTTTTCCCTGATGTGAGGGGCCCATGGCAAAAGCACCAGAGGCTTCTATCCTTCACAGAATTGGCTTGGCAGTGAAAATCAAAATCAAGACCACTTCACTCTCTACCTTTTAAAAAAAAGTTGAGTATTTTTATTGGGTCTTCAAGTCGTCTGGGTCCCACAGTCCTCATCTGATGTCACTCTTAGCTCTGCACTGATTTCTCCCCTGACGTGCACATAGGGCTTGCCCAAGTAGCCTACTGCAGCCAAGGTTTTATTCCAAAGCTACCTCTCTAAGGTCTAAGGTTACTATGGTAGAGTTTTATACAACAGTTTTCCTTAAAAATATTCCACAATTTGTTATTCCCAAACAAAATAAGATTATGCACCACTCAGAGAAATTGGTTAGTCATTCTGAAGATGTCTAAGAACTATATCACTGCCAAAGAACAACATTTCTCAGTTCATATTCTTTCCTTCAATTTTCATTTGTACATCCACACTGTGGTTCACGAGTCATCTGTTTTCCATTATCTTATAATCAAGTCAAGAGGACTTGTACTTGTACATCGTTTTCCAAAGCTGGATGCATTCACAGTTTGGTGCATACCCATGTGTATGAAAATAGGAACCCCACTTCCACTTTAATCTGATAATTCAACATCAGAGTCTTCTGATTTGGCTTTGGCAAGTTCTTCATGTACCTCCCTCACCATGAGAATACGTGTTAACATGGTGTCCAGGGTCCCAGGGTCTATCGGGAATGTGGAGTACCACATGGGGCTATTCGGAACACAGGAGCGCTCGGGTTGCAGGTAAAACACATCATTCCTCTGCTTCACACTTTCAGAACTATCCACAGGAAAAAAAAGAAAGAAAGAAAGAAACTAAGGAAATTGGGGATCAGAAAGTATAGGAAATACGTAACTACTCTTTAATATAGTGGCTCTCACCTTTTTCCCTACTGTGACTAATGTCATAGATAAAGCAACGCACCCAGGGAGATAAGTTTAAAGGCATTCTGCCCCAGGTGCAATCTGTAACTGCACATTTTTTCCTCCTCCACTCACCGGAGGTGAGTATAATGTTAATAGAAGACAAAGTATAAGTTGTTCACAAACTTTAGTATTTAAAACATTATTAGGAGCAAGAAAAAATTCAACTCATATTTGACACTATGGCTGAGAACCACATATCCTCAGCACCCAATGCCCTGGAATGATCCCCAAGAGCACTCAATACACATTACCATGGGGCAAACCCAGTCACTATATTTCTTGGAGAAAAAGTACTTTAGTGTGGCTCTTACAACTCTAAAGTCTTTAAAGTTTCTGTAACAGAAAGACCACTCAAAAAATACGAATTCTTTAAAAATAAATTGTTTTTCGGGGCACCTGGGTGGCTCAGTTGTTAAGCATCTGCCTTCGGCTCAGGTCATGATCCCAGGGTCCTGGGATCGAGCCCCGCATCGGGCTCCCTGCTCAGCGGGAAGCCTGCTTCTCCCTCTCCCACTCCCCCCTGCTTGTGTTCCCTCTCTCGCTGTGTTTCTCTCTGTCAAATAAATAAAATCTTTTTAAAAAATAAATAAGTAAGTAAATTGTTTTTCTATTTATAGGTTTAGCAGTACAACCTCTACTCTAAAATTTTTCCTATGTAATACAGTAAAATCACAACAGTTTAGTTATCACATAAAGGTTGAGCAACAGTTGTAAAGATTAAACAATAGCTGTGATTCTTGCTTTTGAAGAGATTTTCAGAAAAATAATTATCAAGAAAAAGCAGTTTGTTTGAGGGTCCAAAATCCAGGCAGATATGAAAACAGGGACAAAAGGAGATTAAAGGTACATCCTTGTCTAAAGTTGTATTTCTGATACTTAAGCATCTGAAATCCAAAACATGTTAACTACTTTTTGAAGTGTGCTGAATCTAGTCCAGAAGAAGGCTGCTTACCATTTTGATAGGTAAAACTCATAAAGTCGGACTGGGCATCGTAGTGGGTTGTCAGTATTCTCTGCCATCTCCACACCCACTGGAACCTCGTCATCTTCATTTCGTTTCCTTTTGCCAACAGTTAGTTTATCTTGAGATGGGATATAATAATCAGAAGATTAGAAAAATCTTTTCTTCCAGTCTCAAGACACCCAGAGCTTTGTTTCCAGTAAGAACTGTCACTCCCTTCTCCCGTTCACTCACTAATCCCACAAGGACTGACTGAGCACCTATGGAGGTCCTAGGCAGTATTTTAAGTACTGCTTAATAGGACTGAACAAATCAAAGTCCCTGTTCTGTAAAATTTATGTCCCCCTGCTCACCAAAGTGGGTGCAGCATGGCAAAAAGCATGGTACTGGAAGAGTTAGGTCCTAATTCTGAACCTGACTTTGTTATGAAATTTCATCAGGTCCATCTGAAGCCACAGCAAGATAAAGAAGGAAAAAAAAAGGGTTCTAAGTGCTCTTCTACAGGAGAGATCAAGAGAGAAGTTGTCACCTTTTTACCTGAAAATACTTTTACTGTGGGTCATCAGTGTCCACCGGGCATTTGGTCAAGTTTCTTTTATCTGTCACAGTATTATGAGAAATGGAATCTTTGTTGGGAAAAGAAATTCTCAGTAAAGTTGACCGTTTGATAAGAAAAGGGCAAGCCCTTTTTCACCAACAGAATTTTGCAGAAGCCAAGAGTTATCAAAAAGAAACTAGGGTGGGGGCGCCTGGGTGGTTCAGTCACTAAGCGTCTGTCTTCGGCTCAGGTCGTGATCCCAGGATCCTGGGATCGGGCTCCACATCGGGCTCCCTGCTCCGCGGGAAGCCTGCTTCTCCCTCCCCCACTCCCCCTGCTTGTGTTCCCTCTCTCACTGTGTCTCTCTCTGTCAAAATAATAAATAAAATCTTTAAAAAAAAAAAAAAGAAACTAGGGTGAAGACATGGAAAGTAGGGCTGTTTCTTTCCCACTTTCTCCCTTCAGGCTTCAAGAGAATAATAGTGGGTGGTGGATCTGCTGCAAACCTGACGAAAAAGGTTTTCTTCTTCTTTTCTTACAGCTGCTCTTAATAGGTAGCAAAGAATTTTCCCCAGCTTCCTGCATTAGTTATTACTTAAAATTCACCCCAGTCTTCTATTTAGAGGATACCTAAATATAAAGACTCCTTCATTCAGAAAAGAAGCTGAACTTACTACCAGTCTTGAAAGCACCTCATCAGAAAACAGGGAAATGTTACCTGATTGCCTCTCCCTGCCCCCAATTAACATCAGTTAAGAGCACAAAGTGGGCTATATACGAACAAAATAAAGGAGAGAGGACATAGTCATGGGGTGAAAAAGCACAACGGTGTTACATTTTCTAAAGAAAAGGAGCAACTGAGAGAATTTTTAAGTAATTTTAAGTTTCAGTAATTTTTAAATTCTCACTTTCAAAAAATACATATTTCACTCTTATCCCAAGGAAGTAACAACTTGATTTTGGGAATTTTAGAACTTACAATTTTGGTCAAAATTAGTATGTTTGATTTCTAGTTCCATAATATGTTAGTTTTTTAAATGTTAAAAACGAACTATTATTTAATAGGCTGTTTTAGGAATGTTAAGACCATAAGCCTTCTAAGAAAATTGTGACTGCTGATATTATTCCACCGTGTACAAAAGCAATACAGATCTTCCTTGACGTACGATGACCGAAAATGCATTTAATACATGTAACTTAGCGAACATCGTAGCTTAAACATGCTCAAAACACTTACATAGCCCCACAGTTGGGCAAAATCCTCTAACACAAAGCCTATTTTATAATAAAGTATTGTTGACTACTTCATGTCATTGATTAAATACCATACTGGAAAGTAAAAAAGATGACTGGGTGCAGAATGGCTGTAAACATATGGGTTGTCTACCCTCATGATCCCGGGGCTAACTGGGAGCTGCAGACTGTTGTTGCCCAGCATTCCACTAGCCCAAGAAAATACCAAAAGTCCACAAAGTACAGTTTCTACTGAATGCGTGCATATCACTTTTTCACAACTGTAAAGTTGAAAAATTAAGTCAAACACCATCTGCATACTCTAGGCCAGCTTTTAAGTTTCTTCAGAAATTGACAGTTAATGTTAACTAAAAAGAGGTGGTCTGGTCAAAAAAAAAAAAAAAGATTTAGAAACAGTAGATTTAAAAATTAGACAGGTTCCTTTTAAATAGCGATTGGCCAATCTATTACGTCTAAATCAGTGATTCTCGGGGCACCTGGGTGGCTCAGTTGGTTAAGCGACTGCCTTCGGCTCAGGTCATGATCCTGGAGTCCCGGGATCGAGTCCCGCATCGGGCTCCCTGCTCGGCAGGGAGTCTGCTTCTCCCTCTGACCCTCCCCCCTCTCATGTGCTCTCTCTCATTCTCTCTCAAATAAATAAATAAAATCTTTTTTTAAAAAAAATAAATAAATAAATCAGTGATTCTCATTTTTAGCTGTATGTTTAAATTCCCTGGGAAGTTTTACAACGCAGATTTATTTGGGCTCCACTCCTGGACCAATTAAATCAGACTTTCTAATTTAAAAGCCAATAAAAGTACAGTGAAGCAAGTGATTGCTCTCATTTTGTGGCAAACCTATAACCTAGCCCTGGCAATAAAAAAGCATCTACATATTAATCTAAAGCTACACTCTTTCATGTCTCGAATTTACAGTTACCCTTCTGTGGTTAAGTCTCTATTTGTATACTAACCGGACTTCAAATAGAAATCTCACAAACTCCACCACACACCTGGTTCTGACTCCTGCTTTTGTAAAGGTGGGAAGAACCTCAGATACGTCATCTTGGTGCTATACTTCAGAGTCCTGGTCCGTCTCATCACGTGGGCAAAGGAAAGCTTCAAGTGCTCAGTAACATTCTTGAGTTGAAAGTATTTGGTATTGAAGAAAAGGAGGGTGTTCAAGAGGACGATTGGTGAGTAAGCGCCCAGCTGTTTGCACTCCCACAAATGCTCCTCTTCAATGCGAGAGAACATGTAACCTGCACCGAAGAAGGGGGAAAGCAGTTAACAGTACTAAGCTCCTGCTAAACAGGACCAAGTAATTTCTCAAATTCTCAGACAGGAAGATATAAAGGAAATGATCCATTGTTCCCATCTTTCCCCCTCTTCCTTATATGGAAAACCAGAAAAGGTACCGCAAAGAAAGAGCAGATGACTCCACTGAAGCAGACACTGTGAGCAATCCCCTGAAACAGTTTTAATCCATTGTTATTTTAGACCAGGGTTTGGCAAACTTTTTCTATAAAGAGCCAGATGGTAAATATTTCAAGTACTGTGGGCCACAGAGGCTCTGAACAACTTTGTTGTTATTGAAGATAAGGAGCCACAGACAATACAGAAACAAACAGGTGTGGCTGTGTACCAATAAAGTTTACTTATACACACAAATTTAAATTTCATATAATTTTCATTTGCCACAAAATATTACTCTTCTTTAGATTTTTTTCCCAACCATTTGTAACTCATGGACTATACAGAAACAGGCAGCAGGCCAAATCAAGCAGTTTGCAGACTCCTCCTGTTTGAGATCATTATGCTTACAGTTAACTGGTTCAGTTTCATTTTAGCTCAAATCATTAGAAGGCAGCTAGCTCCCTCCCTCCTTCACACCCCATCTTATTTTAAATTTATATTAAGAGTGATTACTGTGATGACTTATATGGGATTATTCTTGAAAAGCAGGTGTCCTGCAGAAGAATTAAGATGAGTACACCTTTAAGCGCACACTCCTCATGACAGCCCTTAAATCCAGGTCCTTCCTTATGTTCTCTCACCAATCCTCTTTGTTCCTGCTTATACATTCTATTCTTGGGAGAGTAACCAAAAATATGAATTTATTACTTCCAATTTTATCTCCCTTGTCTCTTCTTTGGATGCTAAATGCATCAAGCCACCACACTGCTCAGAATGCTTCAAAGGTGCTCTCTAGCCCGAAAGAAAGGGGCACAAATTCCTGAACATCACATTCAACCTCTCCGCTCACAGCCCAGGAGCCTAAGACCAGGAGTACATCAGGGAGGTGTCCAACAACGTATGGTCAAAGATAAACTCAAGGATGAAGATTTAACTCTTGTAACAACCAGTACAGGGTACTGATAATGAACTAGTCAAAGTCCACTGCTAGTAGGTACAATCTAGAAGTAAAGTACGTGTCAGTTGCTGGTACAGTGTGCAACCTCACCGACACAACCAGACCAAAAATGGCTTCTAAAAAGTAAATACAACTTCCAGTTGCTTTATATTTTTGTTAGTATCTATACATACACTGTATGGAAGTTATAATTTTACTAAAATCAGTAATACGCCTAAGATTTTTCTCCTCAAAAGTCCAAATAGGCTATAAATCAAGACAGAAATATAAGTGAACAATTTATAAAAAGATAATCATAAAAATTAAGCAATTTAGGAAGGCATATCATGAAAAGAATCAAAATAAAAGATAAGCATCCTACCATTAGGAAGTATTGTAGGTTCCCATATTTTCAAGAGTTTGGTAAGTTCAATCATAAATCTGGAATAGGGCTCAGTAAAAATGTTATCTATTCTACCATTTTCAAACAGGTACTACAAGAGAAAAAATGGAAACATATATGTTGATACAAAGAAAACAAAAGTTTTGGGTTTTTTAAAAATTATTTTAAGGAATAAAGTTTACCCTTAATTTTTGCCCTTAACATTGTGAACCATTTTTTAAGGATACATCTTAAAATACCAGAATTCAAGCTCTAAGGTCCTTTTCATATGAACTGTCAATACCTCAAGCACTGAGCTTGCAAGGAAAAATTTTCTATTTCCTTTTTAAAACATGGATGATACAGAATAATTATTAATAAATAAGTACCTTTTACTCAGTTCATGAAACTGATATACTAAAAAATTGCTTCTAATTTGTATGTTCCAAATCATTTTTCAAATTCCCAGGATCTAAATGCAAATGTGCTTTCAGAAGTTTTTGGTTTTTTAGCCTAGTTACAAGATCACTTCCTGAAATAATACAGTTAGCTAGTGTCAGGTGACCTGAGGATACCCAAGTTTTAAACCACAGCTCTCAACCCAGCCTTCAAAAAGTTCAAGTCTAATTATAGGATTTAAAACTATGCTAATTATAGCCATCAAGAATCATATCACAGAATGGGAAACAAGAAACAGCCTGGGTAAGTACTGCTAAAAAACATCTTGAGGTTACAGGGCAGGTAGATGAAATCACTCAGGGAAATAAAATGAGCACTTACAGAATAACACAAGGTATACTTATATGCCAAAAATCTTTTGCTGTTTTTAAGATTTCGTATTTTTTAATTTATTTATCTATGGCTATTTTGGTTTTCTGCTTTTCTATCCAATGTATGGCTTGGGAGAAAAATTTTTTTCTAGTTACATCTGTTCTGGCTAATAAAAATTATATGCCATTTCATACATGCATTTTTATAGGCTTCTTCAAAGGCAATTCATGACATTGCTAGATCACAGTTTTACTGTTGAGAAGTATTCGCCTTTTTCTTCTTTTAATAAAGTTATTTTCACAACCTAAACATATTATATCCTCATTATGGAAAAAAAGTTAAAATACAGAAAAAGTGAAGAATGACATACTCTAACTTGCTACACATTAGAAATACAGAGTTGAGTTTTATACCTTTACTCAAACATATGAGTACATATAAAATACATGTTTTAAAAACCACTTTCCCCCTTAGACCAGGAACAAGACAAAATTGCCTGTTCTTGCCACTTCCATTTAACATCGTACTTGAAGTCCTAGCCAGAGTAACCAGGCCTTAAAAACAAATAAAAGGTATTCAAATAGGAAAGGTCCTAAGGAGTAAAACTATCTCTACTTATAAATGACATGAGCCTATATATAGAAAATTCTAAAGAATACATACAGCCACACACACACACAAAACTGTTATTAGAGTTAATAAATGAATTCAGCGAAGTTACAGGATACAAGCAGCACAAAAATCAATTGCAAAGAACAATACAAAAAGGAAATTAAGAAAACAATTCTATTTACAATCGTATCTGAAAGAATACTTAAGAATAAATTGAACCAAGGAGGTACATGACTTACACACTTAAAGCTACAAAAAAAATGAACGCTAACAAATTAAAGAATACTTAAGAAAAACATCTCATTCATGGATCTGAAGAGAATACTGTTAAAATGGCAATACTGCCCAAAGCAACCTACAGACTGAGTGCAATTCTCAAAATCTCAATGGCTTTTTTTCCCCCCAGAAAGGAAAAAGCCAATACTCAAATTCATATGGAATTGCAAGGAACCTTGAATCGCCAAGTTAATCTTGAAGAATCACACTTCCCTATTTCAAAATTTAGTACAAAGCTACAGTAATCAAAATAGTATGTACTGCTATATGAATAACCATATAGACAAATGTATTAGAATTGAGAGTCCAAAATAAACACATGTCAAGTAAACACATATCAAATGATTTTCAACAAGGATGTCAAGACCATTCAATGGAGAAAGAACAGTCTCTTCAACAAATAGTGGTGGGAAAACTGGCTATCTACATAAACAATTATCCCTAACTCACAGGTATCCCTACCTTACATGAGATAAAAAAATGAATACAAAATGGATCAATGACCTAAACATAAGAGCTAAAACCATAAAACTCTTAAAAGAAGACATAGGGGTAAATCTTCATGAACTTGAATTTGACAATGGATTCTTAGATAAAACACCAAAAGCACAAAATAACAGAAAAAATAAACTGAATTTCATCAAAATTCAAAACTTTTGTGCATCAAAGTACACTAACAAGAGAGTGAAAAGAAAACCCAGAAACTAAGAAAAAATATTTGCAAATCACATATCTGATAAAGAGTTTAATATCCAAAATATATAAAGAAATCCTACAACTCAACAACAAAAAGACAAACAACCCAATTTAGAAATGGAACAAAGGTTTTAAATATTTATCCAAAGAGGATATAAACAAATGGCCAACAAGTACATGAAAAAATGCTCAGTGACCTTTAGTCATTAGGGAAATGCAAATCAAAACTACAGTGAGATATCACTTCATATCCATCAGATGACTATTAAGAAAAAAGGAAATTAACAAATGTTGGCAAGGATATGGAGATAAATAGAACCCTCATACATTGTTGCTGGGAATGTAAAACGGTGCAGCCACTGTGGAAAAGGGTTTGTTGGTTTCTCAACAAGCTAATCATAGAGTTACCATATGACCCTGTGATTCCACTTACAGGCATAAGACCCAAAAGAGTTGAAAACAGGCGTTCAAACAAAATCCTGTACATGAACGTTCACAGTATCATTCACTTTTCGTGATAGCCAAAAGGTAGAAACCACTCAAATGTCCATGAACAGATGAGTGGATAAACAAAATGTGGTATATCCAAGAATTAAATAATTCAGACATAAAAGGAATGAAGTACTGATTCATGCTACAACATACGTGAACCCTATGTTGAAAGAGGCTGGACACAAAAGGCCATATAAAATTGTATAATTCTACTTATATGAAATATCCAGAATAGGCAAATCCATAGAGGTAGAAAGCAGATTTATGGTTGCCAGGGACTAAATGGAGGAGGTAATAGGGAGCGGCTACTTAATGGGTATGAGATTTCCATTTAGGGTATTAAAGTTCTAGAGCAACATAGTGATGACGATTGTACAACATCCTGAATGTACTTAATGCCACTGAATTGTACACTTTAAAATGGTTAGTTTTATGATGTGTGTATTTTATCATAATGTAAATATTGCACTACACTACCTTAAAAATATGTGTCTCTAAGAGTTTTCCATGTAAATATGTATAAGAGCAATTCATTGCTTTTTAACTACTATATGGTACTCAATAGTACAGACACACTACAGATGACTGAACCATTACTATTTTGATGAACACATAGATGGCTTCCAATTTTTTTCTGTTAAAAACAATGTTACAATGAAAATACATGTCTTTCTATATACATGTGCGTGCATTTCTTTGAGGAAAAATACTGATCAATGGATTTACTAGACTGATGAATCTATATGCATTTAAAGGTTTTTTGGGGTTTTTTTTAAGGATTTTTAAGTAATCTCTACACTCAACACGGGGCTTTAACTTACAACCCCGAGACAAGAGTCACACACTCCGCTGACTGAACCAGCCAGACACCCCTACATGCATTTAAAGTTTTAAAAGTCACATCAACTTGCCCTCTGAAAAAGCCTCCACACAAGAAAAATGTATACGTCTTCACTAATACTTGGTATTATCAAACTTCTCAATTGTTCAATTTTCTTTTCTTTTTTTAAAGATTTTATTTATTTATTTGACAGAGACACAGTGAGAGAGGGAACACAAGCAGGGCGAGTGGGAGAGGGAGAAGCAGGCTTCCTGCGGAGCAGGGAGCCCGATGCAGGGCTCGATCCAAGGACCCTGGGATTGTGACCTGAGCTGAAGGCAGATGCTTAATGACTGAGCCACCCAGGCCCCCCTCAATCGTTCAATTTTCAATCAGCCTAATGGGTGAAATTCTTCCTTAGTTATAGCTGAGTACCATTCATATTAGAGAGGCGGTCCACCACAGTGATCATAAGAACAGACTCTGAAAATAAACCATCTGGATTCACATTCTGGCCCTGCCAATTACTACCTTGGGGACTTCAGGCAAGATTTTCACTCACTGTGCCTAGCAGAAAATGGTGATGATGATAGTCCTTATACATCAGAGGGGCACACTAACAAATAAATGAGTTAATATATGAAAAAAGCTTATATTAATACACAGCATACACAGTAAATGACTATTAGGCATTCCTGGTACATTTTGCCTGTTAGCTATCTGTTGATTTTCTTTGTTACTTGCCTATTTGTTTCTTTTGTCAATTATCCCCTTCTTGGCTAATGTTAACAATGGTGGTCCAGGTATTGACATTACAGTTGAGTTTATTTCTTTACATTTTTATGTATTTTTAAAATTCTTTACAATAAGCATAATTATTTTTATAATCAGAAAAAAAAGAAAAGAGGAAGCACATTTGAGATGTCAACATAAGTAACCTTTTAAAATTCTCTACTTTTTGTCAAAACTGATAAAATGTTCATAATATTTACTTTCTAAAACAATCAGCTGACAATTTATTAAATTATAGCCTTTTTAATAGTTTTATTAATATAACAATATGATAAATATACTAGAAAAAACTCTTAAGTTTCTGATTTGTCTCACAAATTAGAGTATATTTTATAGGTGGCAGAGTATTTGGTATGTAAAGCAGTCCAATGTTTTTTACTGAAATCACAGCAATGACGTTTGATTATACTCAAATCAGAATAGGAATCACTACCACACTTCTTGACATCTGCATTGATAAAATTAGAAAATGCTCTTTAGATCCATAATATCATATTTCTAAAAGTACAGGAAGTGTGCTTAGAATCTTCACAATTTTTACCTAACCAAAATGCATGCGTGGCGATAAATTTTGGTTGAAAGAACCTATAAAAGGGGCGCCTGGGTGGCTCAGTCATTAAGCATCTGCCTTCGGTTCAGGTCATGGTCCCAGGGTCCTGGGATCGAGCCCCGCATCAGGCTCCCTGCTCAGCCGGAAGCCTGCTTCTCCCTCTCCCACTCCCCCTGCTTGTGTTCCCTCTCTCACTGTCTCTGTGTCAAATAAATAAATAAAATTTAAAAAATATATATATCTTTTACAATCAAGAAACTTAATCAAAATATAGTGGGAACAATAATTAAATAACGAAAGTACTCTTTTGACTCTGGGGAAAACGAATGCTGCTTGCATAACTAGATACCCATCACAAATCTTATTCATCAGAAATACACTTGTATCATGTACAAAAATGAATTTCAGATGTATTAAAGATAATCTTAAAAAAAACCCCAAATATTTAAGAAAGAAATCTATGAGAATTTAAATACTTAAGTAGGAAGACCATTCTACGCAACACAGAAAAACCAGGAATTTTAAAGGGAAATAAATGCATATTATTAAACTATGTAAAAAAGAAAAATTTTTGAATGGCAAATATATAAACAAAAACTGGAAAACAAAAATATACTGGAAAAATTTATTTCAAGCATTTACATCAGAGTTCTTATCCCCAATATAAAAGAGATCCTACAGATAGAAAGGAAAAATCCAAATGACCAAAAGCATAAAAAGACATTCTACTTTATAAAAATTGGAAAATACAAATTGGAGCCACCAGATGCCTTTTTTTTTAAGCCATCAGACCATCAGAATAATAAACATTATAAAGAGGAGAATCCAAGAAATGGGCACTCATATGGTAAAGCTGTAAATTAACCATTCTGGAAAGTAAAATGAAAATATCTTAAAATTTAAAAAATCTATAGCAGGTGCCTGGGGTGGCTCAGTCGGTTAAGCATCCGCCTTCAGCTCGGGTCATGATCGGGTACTGGGATCAAGCACCACCACCTCTGGCTTCCTGTTCAGCAGGGAGTCTGCTTCTCCTTCTCCCTCTGCCCCTCCCCCTGCCCATGCTCTCTCTCAATCTCTTAAATAAATAAATAAAATCCTAAAAAAAAAAAAGAAAGAAAAATCTATATATGCTTTAACCTAAAAATAAAAGCATCAGTTCATCAGGCACTCAAATAAAATATTTACTAAACCACTGTATTAAGACTAAGGGGGGGGGGCGCCTAGGTGGCTCAGTTGGTTAAGCGACTGCCTTCGGCTCAGGTCATGATCCTGGAGTCCCGGGATCGAGTCCCGCATCGGGCTTCCTGCTCGGCGGGGAGTCTGCTTCTCCCTCTCCCACGCCCCCTGCTTGTGTTCCCTCTCTCACTGTCTCTCTCTGTCAAATAAATAAATAAAATCTTTAAAAAAAAAAAAAAAAGACTAAGGGGGGGAGTAACGTGAATACTTAAAAGAAAAAAGGGTGAATAATTGGTATATTCGTATTCTGCAATATTACGCAGCTTTCCTTTATAAAGGAAGGAATTTGATTTTATGTTCACCTGGAGGGATACACAGATTGAGAAAAGTAAGCTGCAAAAAAATGTATACGGTATCAGCCCCATTTTGCTAAAAACTAAGCAAAACAACTATACACATCTAAAACATCTATACACACGCATATGTGTATGACACAGAAGGACAGATACTGCAACACTGGTTATCTCAGAGACTGGGAATGAAGGAGAGAAAACTGTCCGTATATGCCTTCAACTTACTGTTTTTAACAGTTACACTGAACACATACTACTTTTATAATTAAAAAACAAAACTTTAGGAATAAATGCCTAAATAAAAGAACACCCCCCCCACCATACAAATGGAAGAAAATTTCGCAAATAGAGAAAAGAAAAATCAACAACATCCAGAGCACTACCACCCAAGATGATAACCACTATCAACATATTTTGATGCATTTCATTTTATTACATATTTATAGGACTGGTTTTTAAAATCATTATATGTTAACATGTACTGATGCACATAGAATTCATATTCTCATTTTGTTTATTTAATGCTTTAGTATTAGTATTTTACACGTTACGAGAAGTTACTTTGTAAACAATTTTTATTGGCTACATAATATACAAGTTTATAAATATATTATAATTTACTTAAACATAACACTCTGGTGGGCATTGAAGTTATTTCCAATTTTGTGCAAATGATGTCTGAATTTCAGAGTATTAGCTTTGTCAGACTCCCAAAAAGTGAATTACTGGCAAAAGAGTATGAACATTCAAAAATATTACTGAAACACATGCCCAAAACTGCTTTCTAGAAGTGTGTACTAATTACCACCAGCTATGAAGGCAAATCCCCTTCACAGAATTCGTATCAACAATGAGTGTTATAAATATTTTTTGCTAATGTGATAGACAAATAATGGTATGTCATTTTATTTTATTTTTTTAAAGATTTTATTTCTTTATTTGAGAGAGAAGAGAGCACACAAGCGGGGAGAGGCAGAAGCAGACTCCCCGCTAAGCAGGGAATCTGACATTGGTCTCAATCCCAGAACCCTGGAATCATGACCTGAGCCGAAGGCAGACTCTTACCTGATTGAGCCACCCAGGTGCCCCATGTCTGTTATTTTAATGTGCATTTAGAAAATTTTAAATAAGACTACATGATTTACATAAGTACATATATACACACACAGTCACCTATGTCACTTTTTGTGACTTTGCTATTTTTGCCTTTTTTGTCCACAGAACAATAAAATGCACCATCCTGAATTTCTGTTATTCTACTAACAGTCTCAATTTGGCTTATGGAAGGCTATATGATCAAGACTTTTAAATCAGGGGCAGTGGTTCATTAAGAACAGAGTATAAAAGCAATACCAAACCACCATATACACTATAATTTTCAGCTTGAATCACAAGATCTATCAGAATTATTAAAAATGCAATACATTTGAGAACAATTACTGAATTTGATACCTGCTGAATTCCAAGGCACAAGTATAAGATACTGTCTGGATCATATTTTTCACCATTTGGTCTCCGCACTTCTTGGATAAACTGGCATAAACCCAAACTCAACTCAGCAAAAGTGCAGGACAGAATATCTTCCTTCAGCTTGATAGAACGGACTATGGAAAGGTAGAAAACATCTGAAATATTAACTTATAAGAAACACAGTAACATTACTTTAGTCACTGAAAAACACTGACTACTACTGGGGGCTTAGACATTATAGTGTACACTGGTGAATACATGGATTACAGATAAATCCCGATCTGAAGGCTTTTTCAGTTAAAGAAATAAAAACAATGCAGTGCACCATGTGTAACAGGTGCTGTGACAGGGGTTTAGTTTAAGAAGGATTCTAGGAAAGCAAATGAGGAACATCTATCAGACAGGGAAGGGTCAGGTGAGATTCTGGAGGATGTGACACAATGCCAGACCTTGAAAGGTGAAGAAGAATTAAACAAACGAATAAAGAATTGCAATCTAAGGATATAAAAATACTTCCCGAAGCATATTCCACAAAGTACTAGTAATATGAGAGCTGGAGAAAACTGGGTTTCTAAGATCTAATAAATTTAGAAAACAGTAGCATACTATATCTGCGTCTAAAGAATTCACAATGATACATAAAAGGTTTATTAACGGTTCTGAGAATATCTGCATAAAAATGCTGTTTAACCTTCTCTAACTCCGATTTATTTGAATAAAGAACACTTCAAGTAACATGTAACATCTTCATGCCCTTAGAAATGCTGGAATACAGAAAAGTGAAAAGATTGAGGGGACTCAGATATACAGGAAAAAATCAAGAAGGGCAGATGAAGGCGAATGGTGGTAAATCTCAACTAGCATATTAAGGCTTTGAAGACAACTAAGAACTGAATTAATTTTACCAGGAGAGCGACCCAATTTGATTTGTAGAGATCCTACAATTTGATATGTAGAGAAACTACTCCAGTAGAGATCCTACTTCAATTCAGATTAGAATGAAAGTACTCTTTTTCTAGTCACTGCTCCTCTGCATTTAGATAAGGTTGCATGTTTTCAAAGATACACTCGAGTTCCCCTGATTTAGTTTTTTAAAAGGTAAGTCGGTGGTTCAGAAGGGCAAGGACCATGTTTGACCTTTTCACCAAAGTACCTAACCACCATGCATGGTACATACCTGGTACATAAATTCAGTACTTTTTGGATGAATGAATAGCAGAAATGAGTAGGCATCCCCTGTGTCTATTGCATTTAGGCCTGGTAGTCTAATATAATATTACCTCTCCATTCTCCCTATCCCTCTTCCTTCTTTAAAACAAAGAGTGCGTTGGCTCAAACTGGGAGTTAAAGGGCCTAATAAACCTCCCTAAAAGAAGTATATTTTTATCACTCAGCAGAGACTACACTTGATCTGCAGGAATTGAGTGCATCAGTCACAGACCACAGCAGCTACTAACTGCTCCAATAAGGAGAGTGACATGTACCCAAAAGCCAGCAGGGTAGACTGAGGTGAAGCCAAGAGTGCATGCAATTACCCGATTGTTAGAAAGAAGGTATAGTTGGAAAGATGCAAAGTATCTAGTGACAAGGACATACTCATCCATTCCTGCCCTATCTCATTCCACAAAGATTATAGTAAGTATCTCACAAAAGACACAGATAATAAAAAAGGAAAATAAAAACTGAAAACAAAAGTTTAGAATAGGAACTTCAAAACCAGAGGGGAAAAAAAGTAGGCTCTAAAATTAAACACTGCTGCTCTATATGAATTGCTTATTGGGTCCCAAATTTCCTGGCACCCAGTCTCACAGAGCTTATTATTAGGAAAAATTTCTACAGAAGAGGCAAGGCTTTTCCAGGTAAAATTTTTCTCAACACCACCACCAACAGCAGAAGTGTCACAATGGGTTCCATGTTACAGATACAGTGCTTAAGAATACAGATTTGAGTCACCCGCATAATGTTAGAGGAAGGAATACAATTCCTCGTATTTGCATAACAAATTCATGCCCATACAACCTTACCTTCATAACAAGATCTTTGTAATTCAGAGTAGGATATTAATTTCTCTCTTTTACCATAAGACTCCAATTTTTAAATAATCTTAAATATTCCCATTTACAAATTTAAAATTGGCAATAATATTAAAAAGTGATTCAGAGAATTCAGACTACAAAGAGAAATGATTTTACCTCTACAGCCTGGCTCTGAGGATTCTTGAGAGACTGCATGGTCTTGAGCACTTCCTAAAGGGTCAGAACATGGGCTAGATGCAGCATGTTCAATACCTGACAAGGAGAGAAGAAATTAAAACTTTAAATAAAAATGGAGGAAAATTTAACACCAAAACCAAAGTTTTATGCAATTTTTGACCTAATATGTATCCCTTTTGTGTAGATTGATGACTTGAATTATATACCCCCAACCCCCTCAATCAAGACACAAATTCATGCTGTGTATTTACCGCCACATTTCAGATCCCCCTGCTCTTCCTTGGCATTTTTCCACTGAACCCAGTTCTTCCAGGCATTTACCCCGTACATGTATTTCAGTGTCATCCCAGACACTGAACATCCCTGAAAGGCTCCTTGAATAAGACTTCTGGGCTCCACAGCCACTATAGACTTCTTCCGTCCCTGTAAGAATTCCAAAAATTCACAGAATATAAAATTTAGTTCTGAATCTTTAAGAAACATAGTTCTCAAAGAAAGAAGGGAATAAATTTACAGAACACACAATTTATTATTAGATCCTAAATATTCAGAGTTCTTAAAGCTAGGAAGAGTTTTAGAGGTTAATCCAATCCATATAGTAAAGAAAAAAAAAGGAGAGAGTTGAAATGCAGAACTCTAATAATTACTAACATTAGAGTACTTACTATGTTCCAGAAACTGAACCCACCCTATGAAGTATGAATAACAGTTATTACCACTCAGGTCTATTTCATGGAACATACGAGCAGATCCATTCTGGGATCCAAAACAAGCCCCCATAAATTCTCTACCTACAATCAAATTAAACTAGAAACCAATAATGAAATGATGTTAAACAAATCCTCAAAAATTGGGGTGCCTGGGTGGCTCAGTCATTAAGCATCTGCCTTAGGCTCAGGTCATGATCCCAGGGTCCTGGGATCGAGCCCTGCGTCAGGCTCCCTGCTCCGAAGGAAGCCTGCTTCTCCCTCTCCCACTCTCCCTGCTTGTGTTCCCTCTCTCGCTGTGTCTCTCTCTGTCAAATAAATAAAATCTTAAAAAAAAAAAGAAAATCCTCAAAAATTGGAAATTAAACAACACATTTATAAATACCCATGGTCAAAGAAGAAACCACAAATGCAATTAGAAAATATTTTGAAACTTCAGTGAAAATGAAAACATTTTTTCCCACAGTGCTAAAGCTTACAATGACATTTATAGTATTAAAATGCTTCTATGAAAATAAAAGTCTAAAATCAAGAATCAAAGCTTTAAGAAAACTAGAAAGAGCACACCACATTAAAACCCAAAGTAAGAGAGGTGTCTGGGTGGCTCAGTCAGTTAAGCATCCAACTCTTGATTTCAGCTCAGGTCATGATCTCGGGGTCGTGAGATCAAGCCCCACATCCGACCCCGCACTGGGCATGGAGCCTGCTTGCCTGTTTGGGATTCTCTCTCTCCCTATGCCTGCCTATCTTTCTCTCTGTCTACCCCCCACCAAAAAAGTAAATGAAATAAAACCCAAAGTAAGGAAAATTAAAGAAATAATAAAAATAAGAACAAAAATCAATGAAAAAAGGATAGAGAAAAATTAATAAAGTTAAAAAGCTGGTTCTTTTAAAAGATAAAAAAAAATACACTTCTAGCTAGAATGATCAGGAAAAAAAGAGAGAAAACATTAAATTACCAATACCTGATCCTAGAGACATTAAAAGGATAGTTAAGAGAATGCTGTCACGCCAATAAACTTGACAAGGCAGATAAAATGAACAAATTTCCTAAAAGACACAAACTAACAAAGCTTGCTCTAGAAGAGATAACCTAAACAGCCATAAACATTTAATTCATAGTTTAAAACTTTCCTACAAAACCCCTATAGACCCACCAGTTAAATTATATCAATTCTATTTTAGAAAATAAAAAGGGAGTAAACACTAACTCACTGTACAAATGTTACCATTAGCCTGAGAACAAGGCCAGACAGTCATTACAAGAAGACTACAGATCACTCTCTCTTCAACGGAGACATTTATAAAACCTTAACAATATACTAGCAAACTGAATCCAGCAATAGATAAAAGACTAAATACATCAGAAGAAAGTAAGATTCATCCCATGAATGCAAAGTTAGTTTACCATTTTAAGAATTAATGTATGTCATCATTTTAATAGACTGAGAAAGAAAAAACCAGATGAGCATCTCAATAGATGCAAGAGAGCCACATGACAAATTCAACACAAATCATGATAAAAATTCTCAGCAAATTAAAAATAGAAGAGAACTTCCTGCCTGATAGGGGCCCTCCACCAAGAAACCTGTAAGTAATATCATAGTTAATACTGCAAAACTGAACACTTGCCCTACGACTGAGAATAGGCACGAAGATCCGCTCTCATCACTAATATTCAACATTGTACTGAAGCTAGTACAATACATAAAAGAATCCAAGCTAGTGCAATACATTAAAAAAAAAGTGCATTAAGATTGGAAAGGAAAAAGTAGAACAATCTTTATTCACAAATAACAGGATTGTCTAGGTAGAAAATCCTAGACTTTAGTTCAGCAAAATCACAGTACATAAAATCAATATAGAAAAAGAAATCTCAGGGTGCCTGGGTGGCTCAGTTGGTTAAGCATCCAACTCTTGATTTTGGCTCAGGTCATGATTTCAGGGTCGTGAGATCAAGCCCGGCACTGGGGAACACTCTCAACATGGTACCTGCTTGAGATTTTCTCCTCTCCCTCTGCCCTTCCCCCGGCTTCTGCTTTTTCACCCTCTCTCTAAAATAAATAAAATCTTTACTATAAAACCTAGCAATCCCACGTCTGCATATTTTTCCTCAAATGAAACTATATGTTCACACAGAGATTTATATCTAGAATGTTCATAGCAGCTGTATTTGAAACAGCCCAAACCTGGAAATAACCCAAATTTCCATCAACTGTTAAACAAATTCTGTTTGTCCATACAATGAAATGCTACTCAGAAATAAAAAGGAATGAATGGCCTAATGATACATGAAACAACATAGATAAATCTCCAAAACATTATGCTAAGTTAAAGAAGCCAAACAGGGAAGACTACAAATTACATAATTCCATTTATATGAAATTTTAGAAAAGGCAAAGCAGTACCATTTTGCATCAATCTGCAAAGCAGATTGGTGGTTATCAGGAGCTAGAGAAGACTGACTGCAAAAGGTCATGAGGGAGCTTTTGGGACAGTGGAAGTGCTATGGTTGTGGTGGTAATTACATACTGAATATATTTGGTGAAGCTCATCAAATTTTACACTTAAAATTTATGAATTTTTGCATGTAATTATAACTCAATAGAGATAATTTTTTTTTAAATAAGGCTATTATTCTTTTAGTTTTTAGTACGGGAAAGTCCTGTCAATATGAAAAACAGTCCACATGAATTTCACTATTATACTATATTATATAAAATAAACCTCATTATAAATATATAAAAAAAGCTAAATTTAGAGACTTAAAAAAAAGTGTACAACGAGGATTATAAAAAGCTTTTTAAAGTAAAACAACAAAACACCCTCAATTATAAAAACAAGAAAAAGACCATGCTAAAAGAAACAAAGTAAAAGGTAATAGTCTTTTTTTTCAACAACAGCTGTCTGCCATATATTGTTTATTATTTTGAGTTCATCAAATATAGTACAAATACATTTACAAAATTTTATAAATTCATAAAGATGGCATGATTATGTGGGACATACACAGGTGTTGTGTCATATACTATTCTGGAGTGGCAGGAACGCTACCCTTTCTTGTATCTGAATGGCTGAAACCTGGGCCATGAGTCAGTACATGCTCCTAGCTATCAGTCCCCAGCAAGTCCTGGATGACTTACTGTAACACAAATGAGTAACAAACTATCCACCAGTAAACTGTAAATTTTTGTGGTTACCCTTCTATTAGCTGGAAAAGGCTTATATAACTATGATCCAAATGATGACAATCACAACAAACATTGAACAGCTACATAATAATAACCACATACTAAGCATCTGCCATGTGCTATGCTGGAAGACTTATCTCAGTACCTCTATTACCAAAACATCGAGGTTTACATATCCCTTTAAAATATTCAAAAGATATGGTTCTTGATTATAAGAAACAGAAATAAAGGCACAAAAGTACAAGGCTGTGGGCGCCTGGGGGGCTCAGTCATTAAGCGTCTGCTTTCGGCTCAGGTCATGATCCCAGGGTCCTGGGATCGAGTCCCACGTCGGGCTCCTTGCTGGCGGAAAGCCTGCTTCTCCCTCTCCCACTCCCCCTGCTTGTGTTCCTGTTCTTGCTATCTCTGTCAAATAAATACATAAAATCTTAAAAAAAAAAAAAAGTACAAGGCTGGGTAGAACAATGTATGGAATTCTGTGACCCTGCCCATTACAGAGCTTTGTAAACATCGAGAACCAAGACACACCGAAGGAAAGAAAATGCTAGAAAAATTAATCTACTGCTTACTCTTCGTCTAGGCTGAGGGAAGCCATCTCTGTGCCGTCGTCTTGTTCGGGAACGTGCCTGGATTCCCTGTCCTTTATTCAGTGGGTCAAAGGATTCTATAATAATCAGCAGAAAGCATAAATTGAGGTAAATAACTCACAGATTTATATAAAAACAGACTGGGGGAGGAAACATCAAGTAATCATCACTATATTAATTATTTTGTTCATGATAAAATAACTTTATTTATATTCTTAAGAAAAACAAAGGATACAGCACTTAAAAACTTCATTAAAAATCAAGGAAACCTCCTACATGGTTACTATGGGAAAGGTTAAACACAACACAAAATTAACTACTTATTATTTAACCTTCAAAGGTGGGCATCATTTGTGCCCTAGATTATCACACTGTATATCTACTTCATAATGTCAATTCAGAGTTATACCAATCTTCTAAAATCAAGAGTATTTTATGCGGCACAAACCGGATGGAAAATCTGCTTCCAGATCCTGCTCAGTTTCTCCTTTTGAGAGCTGCTTCAAGTCTGAATCCGCCTCTTGCACAGCATTTGACTTTAAGGCATAATGATTCAACTCTTCCTCCCAGCTATGCGGAGTAGATACTGCCTCTGATTCAAGGTCACCACTGTATGTACTTCCTTGGTCTGAAACAGACAGAAAACAAACATACGCTCAAAATAAGACAGACTCTATGTGCGCTGAGAAACCTTCCTGAGACCTGGAATAACAAAACCGAGATGACTGCCGATTTGACTAGGTACACTAAAGAATGAAAGACTTCTTCACCAGCCTCATAAAACTGGCTTCATATTCTTGGTATACACTTTAAAGCATTATTTCAATTAATCCTTAAAACCAGTATCTGAGGTACCTTTTATTATTCTCATTACATATTAGCATACATAAACACCTGATACCCCCTACAAATAGCTAAAATTACAAATATTAAATCCAAGGATACTAATACTTTGTGGGTTTGTATTAATAACTGAGGATAGTATTTCTTTCTTTTTTTTTTTTTTAAGGATTTTATATATCGGGGCGCCTGGGTGGCTCAGTCGTTAAGCATCTGCCTTCAGCTCAGGTCATGATCCCAGGGTCCTGGGATCGAGCCCTGCATCAGGCTCCCTGCTCCTGGGGAGGCCTGCATCTCCCTCTCCCACTCCCCCTGCTTATGTTCCCTCTCTTGCTATGTCTCTCTCTGTTAAATAAATAAATAAAATTTTTTTTAAAAAAGGTTTTATATATTTATGAGAGAGAGAGAGAACCCAAGCAGGGGGAGGGATAGGGGAAGATGGAGAAGCGATTCCCTGCTGAGCAGGAAACCTGACACCAGCTCCATCCCATCCTCGGCACCCCAAGGATACTATTTCTAAGATCTGAAATATATGTCGAATTACAAACCTTTTTCAAAAATCTTGGTGTCTAGAAAGAGTTCCTGTTCAGAAGTTTGGGATCCTAAAGAAAAAAAAAGTATACATTTAATAACTTACATGTATACACAAAGCAAACTGCATCTCAAATAAAATGACTGCATATATAAATGAATCATACTGGGGAATGCTAAGAAAATAGCCTTCATATGCAGAAAGAATGATTCATTAATAAAACTAGGCATTAGTGGTAAATGAAATTAAACAAATTATGACTGTAACAGCAGTTAAACTTCCAGGTAGCAGTATGAGAGAAGTCAGGTCAAGAGAGACATTTATTTTACACTCCTGTGCTTTCTGAAATTTTTTTTTACCATGAAACACATACACACACACACAAGAACAATTTATTTACAAATTGACAAACATGATTACAACTATCTATCTTGCAGGTTAGGTTTGAAAGTTTTTTCAGTCTGACTCAATTTTTACGTTAAGGCAAAGTTACAATATTTGTACAGAGGAAGCACCTGAAAAATGTTAACAATGTGAATGGAGATGCCAACTTAAAATGAGGTTTATTATCAGGAATTGCTTAAACTTCTAAACTAAGTATCAGAAATTAGAAGATCAAGCACAGGGGGAAATATTCTAAGATATTAAATTTCACATACAAATGGGTCAGAATTATGAGATTATATACTAGAGAGCAAAATGAGACCAGAAACAGTGGGAAAATAACCTTTTTATGCATCTCTAAGGATATATATGATTTTAAAACTTAATGGCAACACAAGAGGAAAGCAGACATTTTTTCCACATGCTACAGTGTTCTGAAAATCATCTAGCATTTATTATGCAAAATCCTAAACCCAGCGGCTAGCTTTATAAAAACCATCACTGAAAAAAAGAAAACATGTGTCAGGAAAAAATAATTTCCTGGCTCCTCAGTGATATAGGAAAAGGCCTTCATGTATTTCAACTATCCAAACACCATTTGCTCTATCTCTTCTTATACCCCCATATCAAGGAGGTACTAATTGAGGCTAGAAACCTTTCTGGATATGTACCTGCAACTGCTGGTTACTATCATTTGCTTTGGAGTCAGACAGACTGAATTCAACTTCTGGTTCCATCACTTCCTGATTGCATAACCAGGGCAAGTATGATATCCTATTTTCCAAAATGAGTTTAAAATAAACAGTATCTAACCCACAGGGTTGCTGTAAAGGTTAAATGAGGTGATGCACACAGTGCATTTAGGACATGTCTAGGGTATGGTAAGCACGTAACTACTATTCTTATCGATATTCTACCCTCATAGCACAGGATTTATCTATAGGTTATCTTGAGCCAAACAAAGAGTTTTCCATCCTAAGGCTCTATTTGCCTTCTTTCAACATGCTGATTATTATACAACAGAAGTCTTAAATAGGGATCATGCTTTGAATATAGGAATAAAGCCAAAACATAATCATGAAAATGGATTTACAGATTATTTTTCTGGAATGATTAAGAACTAAAAATAGAATATTAATACTTAGTTTTAAAAAAGGACAGGACTGGCAAAGACATTTGGGAACCACGGCAACAGGCCCCTCCCCGAGAAGATCAGCGAGAACAGCCAGCCAAGACCAAGTTTACCCATCAATGAGAACGGCAGAACTCCAGCGCTAGGGGAATAATGCACATAGAATCCATGGCTTTTTTCCATGATTCTTTAGTCTTTCAAAGTTAATTTTTTTCTTAACTGTCTTTTTTTTTTTAATTTTTCTTTTTCCCTTTTTCAACCAACACCTTATCAATCCCTTTTTTAAAAAACATTTTTATTTTTCATTTTTAGAGCCATATTCTGTTCCTTCATAGTAGTTACCCATATTTTTGGCATATATATATGTTGGTCTCTATTTAAAATTTTGACATAGTTTCTTCTAACAGATCAAAATATACCCTAAAACTCTAGTGTATGGTTTTTTTCTACTCTCCTGCCTGATCACATTCTCTCCCTTTTTTTTCCTTTTTTTTTAAATCCTCTTCTTTCCTTTTTCAAACAACTTCTTATCAATTCCTTTTATAAAAATTTTTATAATTTCCATCTTTACAATCATATTCCATCCCTTCATCATATCAACCCTTATTTTTGTATATATATAAGTTTTTCTTTCTTTAAAATTTTGGGAGGCATTTTCTCCTAACAGACCAAAATACACCCAAAATCTAGTGTGTGGCACTGATCTATGTACCAGCCTGATCATATTTGAACATATTCTGGTTTTTTTGTTTTGTTCTGTTTTTGTTTGTTTTTATCTTTATCTTTTTTTTTTTTCTTTTTTCTCTCTTTCCCTTTCTTTTCCCCCTACTTCAGGTCTTTTCTGATTTGTTTAGAGTATATTTTCTGGGGACGTTGTTACCCTGTTAGCATTTTGTTCTCTCATTAATCTATTCTCCTCTGGACAAAATGACAAGACAGAAAAAAATCACCTCAACAAAAAGAACAAGAGGTAGTACCGACTGCCAGGGACCTACTCAATATGGACATTAGTACGATGTCGGATCTAGAGTTCAGAATCATCACTTTAAAGATACTAGCTGGGCTTGAAAAAAGCATGGAAGTTATCAGAGAAACCCTTTCTGGAGAAATAAAAGAACTAAAATCTAACCAAGTCGAAATCAAAAAGGCTATTAATGAGGTGCAATCAAATATGGAGGTGCTAACTGCTAGGATAAATGAGGCAGAAGAGAGAATCAGTGATATAGAAGACCAAATGATGGAAAATAAAGAAGCTGAGAAAAAGAGAGATAAACAACTACTGGATCACGAGGGCAGAATTCGAGAGATAAGCGATACCATAAGACGAAACATTAGAATAATTGGGATCCCAGAAGAAGAAGAAAGAGAGAGAGGGGCAGAAGGTATACTGGAGCAAATTACACCAGAGAACTTCCCTAATTTGGGGAAGGAAACAGGCATCAAAATCCAGGAAGCACAGAGAACCCCTCTCAAAATCAAAAATAGGTCAACACCCCAATATCTACTAGTAAAACTTATGAGTCTCAGACACAAAGAGAAAATCCGGAAAGCAGCTCAGGACAAGAGATCTGTAACCTACAATGGTAGAAACATTAGACTGGCAACAGACCTATCCACAGAGACCTGGCAGGCCAGAAAGGACTGGCAGGATATCTTCAGAGCACTAAATGAGAAAAATATGCAGCCAAGAATACTATATCCAGCTAGGCTGTCACTGAAAATAGAAGGAGAGATAAAAAGCTTCCAGGACAAACAAAAACTAAAGGAATTTGCAAACATGAAAACAGCCCTACAAGAAATATTGAAAGGGGTCCTCTAAGCAAAGAGAGAGCCTAAAAGCAACATAGACCAGAAAGGAACACAGACAATACACTGTAACAGTCACCTTACAGGCAATACAATGGCACTAAATTCATATCTTTCAATAGTTACCCTGAATGTAAATGGGCTAAATGCCCCAATCAAAAGACACAGGCTATCAGATTGGATTGAAAAAAAAAAGACCCATCGATATGCTGTCTGCAAGAGACTCATTTTAGACCCAAAGACACCTCCAGATTGAAAGTGAGGGGGTGGAAAACCATTTACCATGCTAATGGACACCAGAGAAAGCTGGGGGTGGCAATCCTTATATCAGACAAATTAGATTTTAAACCAAAGACTGTAATAAGAGATGAGGAAGGACACTATATCCTACTCAAAGGGTCTATCCAACAAGAAGATCTAACAATTGTAAATATCTATGCCCCTACCATGGGAGCAGCCACTTATATAAGCCAATTAATAACAAAAGCAAAGAAACACACTGACAACAATACAGTAATAGTGGGGGACTTTAACACCCCCCTCACTGAAATGGACAGATCATCTAAGCAAAAGATCAACAAGGAAATAAAGACTTTAAATGACACACTGGACCAAATGGACTTCACAGACATATTCAGAACATTCCATCCCAAAGCAACGGAATACACATTCTTCTCTAGTGCCCATGGAACATTCTCCAGAAACGATCACATCCTAGGTCATAAATCAGGTCTCAACTGGTACCAAAGGACTGGGATCATTCGCTGCGTATTTTCAGACCACAATGCTTTGAAACTAGAACTCAATCACAAGAGGAAAGTTGGAAAGAACTCAAATACATGGAGGCTAAAGAGCATCCTACTAAAGAATGAATGGGTCAACCAGGAAATTAAAGAAGAATTTAAAAAATTCATGGAAACAATGAAAATGAAAATACAGCTGTTCAAAATCTTTGGGATGCAGCAAAGGCAGTCCTAGGAGGAAAGTATATAGCAATACAAGCCTTTCTCAAGAAACAAGAAAGGTCTCAAGTACACAACCTAACCCTACACCAAAAGGAGCTGGAGAAAGAACAGCAAATAAAGCCTAAACCCAGCAGGAGAAGAGAAATAATAAAGTTCAGAGCAGAAATCAATGAAATAGAAACTAAAAGAACAGTAAAACAGATCAACGAAACCAGGAGCTGGTTCTTTGAAAGAATTAACAAGATTGATAAACCCCTGGCCAGACTTATCAAAAAGAAAAGAGAAATGACCCAAATCAACAAAATCATGAATGAAAGAGGAGAGATCACAACCAACACCAAAGAAATACAAACAATTATAAGAACATATTATGAGCAACTCTATGCCAGCAAATTAGATAACCTGGAAGAAATGGATGCATTCCTAGAGATCAACTACCAAAACTGAACCAGGAAGAAACAGAAAACCTGAACAGACCTATAACCACTAAGGAAATTGAAGCAGTCATCAAAAATCTCCCAACAAACAAAAGCCCAGGGCCAGATGGCTTCCCAGGGGAATTCTACCAAACATTTCAAGAAGAATTAATACCCATTCTTCTGAAACTGTTCCAAAAAATAGAAATGGAAGGAAAACTTCCAAACTCATTTTATGAGGCCACCATTACCTTGATCCCAAAACCAGACAAAGATCCCATCAAAAAGGAGAATTACAGACCAATATCCCTGATGACCATGGATGCAAAAATTCTCACCAAAATACTAGCCAATAGGACAGTACATTAAAAGGATTATTCACCACGACCAAGTGGGATTTATCCCTGGGCTGCAAGGATGGTTCAATATCCACAAATCAATCAACGTGACACAATACATTAACAAAAGAAAGAACAAGAATCACATGATCCTCTGAATAGACGCAGAAAAAGCATCTGACAAAGTACAACATCCTTTCTTGATCAAAACTCATCAGAGTATAGGGATAGAAGGTCCATACCTCAGTATCATAAAAGCCATCTATGAAAAACCTACAGCGAATATCATTCTCAATGGGGAAAAACTGAGAACTTTCCCCCTAAGGTCAGGAACACGGCAGGGATGTCCACTATCACCACTGCTATTCAACATAGTACTAGAAGTCCTAGCCTCAGCAATCAGACAACAAAAAGAAATAAAAGGTATCCAAATCAGCAAAGAAGAAGTCAAACTCTCAACTCTTTGCAGATGATATGATACTTCATGTGGAACACCGAAAAGACTCTACCCCAAAACTGCTAGAACTCATACAGGAATTCAGTAAAGTGGTAGGATATAAAATCAATGCACAGAAATCAGTGGCATTCCTATACACCAACAACAAGACAAAAGAAAGAGAAATTAAGGAGTCGATCCCATTTACAACTGCACCCAAAACCATAAGATATCTAGGAATAAATCTAACCAAAGAGGCAAAGGATCTGTACTCAGAAAACTATAAAATACTCATGAAAGAAATTGAGGAAGACACAAAGAAATGGAAAAACGTTCCATGCTCATGGATTGGAAGAACAAATACTGTGAAGATGTCAATGCTACCTAGAGCAATCTACACATTCAATGCAATCCCCATCAAAATACCATCCACTTTTTTCAAAGAAATGGAACAAATAATCCTAAAATTTGTATGGAACCAGAAAAGACCGTGAATAGCCAGAGGAATGTTGAAAAAGAAAAGCAAAGCTGGCGGCATCACAATTCTGGACTTCCAGCTCTATTACAAAGCTGTCATCATCAAGACAGTATGGTACTGGCACAAAAACAGACACCTAGATCAATGGAACAGAATAGAGAGCCCAGAAATGGACCCTCAACTCTATGGTCAACTCATCTTTGACAAAGCAGGAAAGAATGTCCAATGGAAAAAAGTCTGTTCAACAAATGGTGTTGGGAAAATTGGACAGCCACATGCAGAAGAATGAAACTGGACCATTTCCTTACACCACACGCAAAAATAGACTCAAAATGGTTGAAAGACCTAAATGTGAGACAGGAGTCCATCAAAATCCTAAAGGAGAACACAGGCAGCAACCTCTTCAACCTCAGCCGCAGCAACTTCTTCCTAGAAACATCGCCAAAGGCAAGGGAAGCAACGGCAAAAATGAAGTACTGGGACTTCATTGACATAAAAAGCTTCTGCACAGCAAAAGAAACAGTCAACAAAACCAAAAGAAACCGACAGAATGGGAGAAGATATCTGCAAATGACGTATCAGATAAAGGGCTAGTATCCAAAATCTATAAAGAACTTATCAAACTCAACACCCAAAGAACAAAGAATCCAATCAAGAAATGGGCAGAAGACATGAACAGACATTTTTCCAAAGAAAACATCCAAATGGCCAACAGACACATGAAAAAGTGCTCAACATCACTCGGCATCAGGGAAATCCAAATCAAAACCTCAATGAGATACCACCTCACACCAGTCAGAATGGCTAAAATTAACAAGTCAGGAAATGACAGATGTTGTGGCAGGGATGCGGAGAAAGGGGAACCCTCCCTACACTGTTGGTGGGAATGCAAGCTGGTGCAGCCACTCTGGAAAACAGTATGGAGGTTCCTCAAAAAGTTGAAAATAGAGCTACCATACGATCCAGCAATTGCACTACTGGGTATTTACCCCAAAGATACAAATGTAGGGATCTGAAGGGGTACGTGCACCCTGATGTTTATAGCAGCAATGTCCACAATAGCCAAACTGTGGAAAGAGCCAAGATGTCCATCAACAGATGAATCGATAAAGAAGATCTGGTGTATATGTGTGTGTGTGTGTGTACACACACACACACAATGGAATATTATGCAGCCATCAAAAGGAATGAGACCTTGCCATTTGCAACGACGTGGATGGAACTGGAGGGTATTATGCTGAGCGAAATAAGTCAAACAGAGAAAGACATGTATCATATGACCTCACTGATAAGAGGAATTCTTAATCTCAGGATACAAACTGAGGGTTGCTGGAGTGGGGGGTGGGGTGGGAGGGATGGGGTGACTGGGTGATAGACACTGGGGAGGGTATGTGCTCTGGTAAGCGCTGTGAATTGTGCAAGACTGTTGCATCTCAGATCTGTACCTCTGAAACAAATAATGCAATATATGTTAAGAAAAAAAGAAGAAGAAGAAGACAGCAGGAGGGGAAGAATGAAGGGGGGGAAATCGGACGGGGAGACGAACCATGAGAAATGATGGACTCTGAAAAACAAACTGAGGGTTCTAGAGGGGAGGGGGGTGGGAGGATGGGTTAGCCTGGTGATGGGTATTAAAGAGGGCACATTCTGCATGGAGCACTGGGTGTTATGCATAAACAATGAATCATGGAACACCACATCTAAAACTAATGATGTAATGAATGGTGATTAACAATAAAAAATTTTTAAAAAAAGGATAGGACTTTCAGAGATATCAAATTTAACAAATCCATACACTTGATACTTAAACACAAATAAAGCTTTTAGAAACACCTGATTATCCAATACTTAATATTACCTGAGTTACCCAAATATTTTTAAGTGTATTTTTTTCTTTCTTTACTTTAAAATTATACCAACCTCCCTGGGATAGAGTCTTCTCCTTCTCTTCATCTTCTGCAATCATTTCTGCCATCTCAAGGAGATCAGCTTCAAATGGATGTGAAGGAAGCTTCTCCTTAATGTCTTCAATACTCTCGGTGCCTTTATCTTCATTATCCATTGAGGATGGAATAAGCATAGGGACAGGCATCTGAAAGACCAAGGACAGTTTCTGGGGAATATGTCATCAAAACTATTATTTGTGAGATGATTTAAGTACTAAAATAATGAACAAATTCAGGTATTTCTATTACTAATGATTAAAACAGTCTTGCTAGTTTGTTTTTATAAAACCACAGCCATCTGAATCAAATTCAGTTAAGTGCTTTTTCTAAACAATCAACAAAATGTGACTGTCTAAAAGAATAATTATCTAACATATTTTTGTTTCTGATTATATTCTTGCTTAACATTTTCAGTTTCACATAACTATTTTCCTTAAGAATTCACCAAGGAAAAATATATTTCCAATAAAAAAATGAATACATTTCTAAGAAAAAGAATAATGTAAATCACAGTTTTTACTTTCTCACCCTTGCTAGAATCTAGAATTTTAGCACATACACACAGTTTCTGATCTTTTCCTATTTGAGTGGTTTACTGTATACGAAACATTATAAACAGGCTACATCACAGCATTCTCTGAGAAGGCAGGGTAAAACAGAAGCAGTCCTTCATATACTCCATATTAAAAAATACAGTAATATGATCATAACCAACCATAGTCAGGAATATTTTACCAACAAGTGAAGAGTTTTTCTTTATGGCACTCTAACATCTTAGTTGAGGAAAACATTCACTAAATCAGCCTTAATCTCTAAAATGATTACTCACTGGAACTGGTATTCCAAATGGGACTGGTGCATACTGAGTATAAAGATGAAGAGGTATGGGCACAAACACTGGCACGGGAACTGGCACAACAATGATCTGGGGCTGGCTTGGAGTGTCTTCTAATGAGGGAACAAAAAATCGCAAAAAACAAAGAGGGTGAGAAACATTTTAATAACAAAAATTTTTTTAAAGCAACAGATTTATAGTTCAAAAGGATTATAATTAAAAAAAATTTTTTTAAACACAAAGACTTGGGTCGCCTGGGTGGGTCAGTTCGTTAGGCGTCTGCCTTTGGCTCAGGTCATGATCCCAGGGTCCTGGAATCAAGTCCCACATCAGGCTCCCTGTTCAGCAGGGAGTCTGCTTCTCCCTTTCCCTCTCCCCCCAGCTTGTGCTCTCTCTCAAATAAATACAATCTTAAAAAAATAAAAATAAAAAATAAATCACACAGACTTATAGTTCAAAATAAGTGTAATCTTTGACACTCTGAGTCCACAGAAGGAGAAATAACTGAAGTAGTAGTAAAGAAAGATTTGAAGATAGCAGTGATAATAATTGGGCAACACAACAATGATCAATGATATGAGGATACAGTGAATGAAGGATATAATTTGGATTAATGAATAGAAAGAATTGGAACAGTAATCTTAGAAGAGGGCTATAGAAAACTGATAACATGAGTAAGAAAAGAATGTTAAGGAGGAGATTAAATAGGTAGAAGGGCCATTTTCATGAGGCTATAATGAACTTTTAAAAATCATTTCTAGTAGATAGTGTGGAGCTACTACAGATCGGTTAGCACAAAGTAATATGATGAAAATATCATTTAAAAAGCTTAATTTGGGGGTGCCTGGGTGGCTCAAGTCCGTTGAGCATCCAACTCTTGGTTTTGCCAGGTCCTGATCTCAGGGTCATGAGATGGAGCCTTGTGTCAGGCTCCATGGTAGCATGGAATTTGCTTGAGGATTCTCTCTCTCCCTCTCCCTCCCACTCTGCCCTCCCCTCACTTGGGCACATGCACACACACACTCTGTCTCAATAAATAAATAAAATCTTTTAAAAAAAAGTTTAATTTAATTTGGAGGCCCTCAGCGTGGAATAAAAAGTATATCAAGTGTAAAAGTAGGTGGCAACTGCAATGTGTAGAGCTAAGATGATGAATACAAGGACCAGGGTGGTTATGATACCTACAAAAAAGAATGAATATATACAAACAGATGTTCTAAGGTACTAAAAGATGAAACGGAACTTAGAAACCTAAATATGAGTAGGGAAAAAGTGAGAAGGATGGAGAATTCATTCAATTATTTAATAGGTATCCTACAGAGTCCTTTCTATGTGCCAGAAAAATACCCTAGAAGATTATAAAACCATTAACGTAGGAGAACAGTGATGCTAGTGACAAGAAGTGAAAAGCTGACAAGCTGAGTAGGGTCAGAGGCGGGATCAATTTTACCATGGTCCAGTGGACATTAAAAAAAAAAAATTACCTGCATATAGGGGGCTGGGCAAAGTGGGTGAAGGGGAGAAGGAGAAACATGCCTCCAGTTATGGAATGAGTAAGTCACAGGAACAAAGAGCAGAGCAGAAGTAATACAGTCAGTGATACTCTAAGAGCAATGTGATGGGACAGATGGTAGCTACACTTGTGGGGAACATAGCATAATGTATAAACTTGTCAAACCACTAAGTTGTACACCTGAAACTAATGTAACATTGTGTGTCAACTATACTCAAAAACAAAGAAACCCAAATCACCTGATTAGAGATATCTGATAACAAAGCTACATAATACTAAATTAGCCATTATTAATACAATACAAATATAGGCCAAAGTCATCTACAGCATTACTAGTCAATGTGGTCCATGGGACCTTTAAGAAATGCAAAACCTCAGACCCCACTAAATTACAATGTACTTAATAAAATTCCGAAGTACTTCATATGCGTATTAATGTTTGGGAAGCACTGACCTACAGGATAACCTTCCAGATCCAGGATAACCTTCCAGATCTAGGAATCTAGGATTACTTCCTGGTTTAAGCATTCTGAGACTTTCCGGGTGCCTGGATGGCTCAGGTGGCTAAGTGTCTGAATCTCAGGTCATGATCTCAGGGTTGTGAGATCAAGCCCCATGTCTGACTCAGCGTGGAGCCTGATTAAGATTCTATCTTTCTGGGGGCGCCTGGGTGGCTCAGTTGTTAAGCATCTGCCTTCGGCTCAGGTCATGTTCCCAGGGTCCTGGGATCAAGCCCCGCATCGGGCTCCTTGCTCTGCGGGGAGCCTGCTTTTCCCTCTCCCACTCCCCCTGCTTGTGTTCCCTCTCTTGCTGTGTCTCTCGCTGTCAAATAAATAAATAAAATCTTTAAAAAAAAAAAAAAAAAGATTCTATCTTTCTGGGGCACATGGGTGGCTCAGTCGTTAAGCATCTGCCTTTGGCTCAGGTCATGATCCCAGGGTCCTGGGATCGAGCCCCACATCGGGCTCCCTGCTCGGTGGGAAGCCTGCTTTTCCCTCTCCCACTCCCCCTGCTGTGTTCCCTCTCTCGCTGTGTCTCTCTCTGTCAAATAAATAAATAAAATCTTAAAAAAAAAAAAGAGTCTATCTTTCTCCCTCTCTTTCTGTCCCTCCCCTGGGAGACTATGACATTGATCCACAACCTGCTCCATTCGCCCTCAGCCAGCTTGACAGAAGCTCCCCTCTGGGTAGGTGCAGCCAGGAAGAGTGGGCTCCTCTTTCTTCAGCTGCCAAGCAAGGGTTACCATACCTCACCAGGGGGACTGGCCACCATCATTTCTCATCCCCTCCAACTCTAAGGTGAAGAGGATAATTTCCTGGTGAGTATAGCTGACAGGTTGGGGTCTCCCTTTCTTCACCCAGTTGCCACCTATAGAGTAGAGGCCCTACTGCAGGAATGGTAGGCAAGAATACTGGGTCCCAATCACCATCAGCCCTGATGACTTTGCAGGGCAGAGATTCCATGCCAGGAGAGGCAAACTGAGAAAACCAGAGGGTAGCACCACGCTCAGAATCCAGAAATGTAGCTCAGAAATTTTGCCTGGGGAGAGAGGCCATTCTTAAGAAAGCCCTCTTGCACAAAAATCTGACTTTATTTGAAACAGGGTGAAAAAGTTCAAACCTAAGGATGCTCTACAAAACAACAGTTCCTCAGGGTGCCTAGGTGGCTCAGTTGGTTAAGTGGCTGTCTTCAGCTCACATCGTGATCCCAGGGTCCTGGGATGGAGCCCCGCTTCAGACTTCCTACTCAGTGGGGAGTCTGCTTCCCCTTCTCCCTCTGCCCCTCCCCCCTCTCATTTTCTCTCTCTCTCTCAAATAAATAAATAAAATCTTAAACAACAACAGTTCTTCTTAATTAAGACCCTGTCTACATAATTCCAAAGTCTAGGCTTATTCCATAAAATTACACTGTCATTAATAACAAAAGAAAATGAAGTATTCACAGTATGGTATTATAAATTAAAACCCTCTCTTTGCCATAATTTCTTAATTCTCAGAGGATGAAAATACCTAACTCACAGGAAGTTGTGAGAACAAAAGTGGGCAATGTATATAAACAATGAAACACATAACCCAGGAAATAGCAGGCACTCAATTAATGTAAACAGCTCTCACATTCCTTTCCAAAAAAAAAAAAAAAAAATTAAAGGAAGAAAGTGCAAGGAACATACCTGTCTGGCATTCTTTGTTTTGGGTATGTGGTTTGCAAGAGGTGGCTTTAGTCTGTGTGATGGGTTTGCACAATAAAGCTTTATTCTTCAAAAGTCTTGGGGGCTGGGAAGGTGGCAGTTTCAGGGCATCTGTTTGTGTACTTGCCTAGTTAAAAAAAAATCAGAAACTGAAGAGGTTTTCAAAAGCTTATCATTAATTATAAGAAATATTATAATTTCAAAAGAAACACTATACTGGAATTACATGGAAGACAGAGAACTTACTAAATATGTAAGAAATACAATATTCCTAAAATAGCAATAGTAATAAAATAGTCTGATAACTATATACTGACTCTGAATGTATCTAATTAACAGTTCTATTTAACAAGACAAATGCTATTTCTATTCTAAGATACTGTTGGTCAGTAACAATGTTGGCTATGTTTAAAATGAGAACTGTTATTTTCTGAGTTGAGTCTTAGAAGACTTTGTTTCAAGATTAACTTATGATCACTTAAGTAACTTGAAAAAAAAAGGTATGAAAGTTATCCCAGAGACCAGAAAACACTTTAGAAATGCCACTGTTGGGGCGCCTGGGTGGCTCAGTCGTTAAGCGTCTGCCTTCAGCTCAGGTCGTGGTCCGGGACCCTGGGATCGAGCCCTGCATCGGGCTCCCTGCTCCACAGGGAGGCCTGCTTCTCCCTCTCCTACTCCCCCTGCTTGTGTTCCCTCTCTCGCTGTGTCTCTCTCTGTCAAATAAATAAATAAAATCTTTAAAAAAAAAAAAAAAGAAAGAAATGCCACTGTTCTAGTTGTAAGTTTTTCTCGTATTTATTTTTTTCTTCTTTTAAGAGACAAAACAAAAAAATACTGAGTGAAGAAACAAGAATGCTTATTTAAGTATAATCTGCACTGGGTGGAAAACAAAGTACATTTTATAAATATTTCATTTACAATCTGACTATATTACAAAACACCCCAAATACCTTTTTGCCTGAATTCTATAAAATTTAATTCTCTAAAGCTAAACTAAAAAAAAAAAAACTAAACTAAACCAAACAAAAGCTGCCTTCAGTAATACACAGACAGCAACCATTCAAAGAAATCAAAGTACATAAAAGACCTAATTAAATAACCAGAATAACCAGACTCTTGTTCCCAAAGATTAAATGAGCTTATAAAATTTATTTTATGTAACAAAGAATAAGCAGGAAAAATTAACAGACATATTCATACGTATAAAATTGGAAAATAAATACAGTGGCAATACCAGTTAAAAGAATAAAACTTACATCGCCAATGATTTTTGCTGTTACTGTTGGAACTGCACCTGATATAAATTAAAATAAATATTTAGGATCTTACACAATTATTTACACAGTAGCATTTAAAGCTGATGGTGGAACGACAGACAGAAAATCTCGTAATAAAAACATGAATTATCTTAATTCACAGGAAAACTACATGTAAAGTGTCACATGAAAACAAGAGACCGGGAAGTGATAAAAACATTGTTTAATGCCCAGCAGCCCACAAGGAGCCACCCCTCATAATATAAGTGTGTCAAACATATGAAAATGATCACTGATTGAAAAAAAAGATACAGACCGACTGTATTCAACGTCAAAAGGCTAGATAAATGCTTTAAACTCAGACATACCTTGTAAGACACTGTTAGAATTCACTGTGGGCTGAGCAGCAGGAGCACTGGCTAATGATACTACATTAGCTATAACTGGAGTTGAATCCTTTCTTAGAGACGGGGGCCCTGCTGAAGCAGCTGGCACCATGGAAATACTTGCTAATAAACAAAAATTAAAAAACCTTTTAATTTATATGCACATACAAAGAAACCAACATCTCAAGGAGGTTAAACAATGCTTTTAGTAAGGTTAAATTCTGTTAGAGCAAAGAATCACTTTAGGATTAACTGGGCTTTTTTTTTATTCTTTTAATTAGTGAAACATAAAAGTATTCCATATACTTTCTCTTGTATAACTATGCATGTGGTATATTTAGAAGGCCATGTGATTTCGATTCTATGTCCTTTGTTTTACTATCAAATCCTTTTTTAAGGAAATCAAGGTGTATATACCCAATTACAAACATTAACTGCCATTCTTTCCCATAGTTCTTACAGAGTTTAATTCAATACACTCAGAGAAAACATAATAAACTCATTTTGATGTTAAACTAAAAAGGAATTTAAATGTTAATGCCATTTGAACAGAATGAAATTTGCGAATTTGCATTTCATGAAATTATTAACAACTGTTTAAAGTTCCCAATCTGTAGAACAGTAGTTGGTCCTTGGCACTGATAAAGACTGTAAAGTTTAATTTTACCTGCATTGTTTTGTGAAGGTGGGTCACACATACTCTGCTGATTACAGAACATCAAGATACAAAGCAGGTTACAGAAATGTTTAATTTCTCCTCGCCATTTCAAGGACTCACTGAGTTTACCCTGTCGCTTACAACCATCACATTTGGCCATCTAAAAATGAAATAAGATGGTAAAGGAGTAAAACACAAATTATCTGTGGCCTGAGAGAATGAAAGCAGTATACAAATGACAAGTGAGGAAATTAACTTAGAATCTAGAACACAACAATGAAGGTTAACCACCCTAAAATGGTAAATATCATTTTTTATCATTTATACTAAACATTAAAAGTCACATTATAGATGTCAATAAAGAGTAATTTAAAAACACAGTGAAATGAAAATAAGACCTATATTCTTCAAAAACTTCTGAAGACAAATTCATTTTAGTTAAATAATAAATTAATAAAATGCTAATTTTAAATACTTTGAGGTCGTAAGACTAACAGATCTTCTATACGGAAATTAAAAACAAAAAGAAAGGGCGCCTGCGTGGCTCAGTTGGTTAAGCATCTGCCTTTGGCTCAGGTCATGATCCCAGGATCCTGGGATCGAGCCCCACGTCGGGCTCCCTGCTCAGTGGAGAGCCTACTTCTCCCTCTCCCTCTGCCTGCCACTCTCCTACTTGCACTATCAAATAAATAAATAAAATCTTAAAAAAAAAACCAAAAAGAACATAACTTCAGTGACATTAAAGTCTTCTTAAATCTTTCATTAATACTGCAAGAGGACATAATACTTTTTTTTTTTACATAATACATTTAATACTTAAAAGTTTTAAATCACTAAACTGCCCTTCATACTACATTGGAGAATAAAACGGAGTAATGTATGCCCTAACTTGAAAAACCCCAGGAATGTGGATTATATTTACCTGATAGAACAGAACTGTGTATTTGGACATGCATTCTTCACAACAGAACTCTTCTACTTTCCCCCCCAAATTATTCTGTACCAATTTGGGAGATGTCTGTAAACAATAACTGCACATTTTACAGTGATTTCCCCAGCGTTTTGCCAAGTCATGTTTATAAAGCAATTTGCAACCTAAAAACAGGAAAGATAAAATTAACATGAGAAAAAATATTAAGTATCTACATCTTTAAACTTAAATGCCCTGTGACAATGTTTTCACACTTGGATCCTTAGCAATTAGTAGATCAAGAGATCAATTTAAAGTATCTACTCTATCATTTTCTTTTTTTAAATAAAATAAGACAGGACAGAAAATATTACAATGCATCACACATAATAAAAGCCAGCTTTGTTTCATAAAACTTTTATTTTACTTGGGGGGGTGATAACATACTGGGTCACAATGATCTTTTGTGTTGTGGTCAAAAGGTTTGAAAGCCACTAGTCTAGGAGGCCAATTGTGTACAGCTTTAGAATAAAACAAAACATATTAAACATACAAAATAGTCATCTAAATAAAGAAGACAATCTACCTCACATTGATTTGCCTATTCAGAAACATGTCTGTTTAAAACAACAGAAGTATAATCTTAGGATGCTACCAAAATTTAAGCAGTTCTATTTAGAAATAAGATGCAATAGGGGCGCCAGGGTGGCTTAGTCGGTTAAGTGTCCGACTTCTGGTTTCAGCTCCAGCCGTGATCTCAGGGTCCTGGTATGGAGCCCCACGGCACGCTTCACGCTCAGCAGGGAGTCTGCTTAAGATTCTCTCCCTCTTCCTTTCCCTCTGCCCCTCCCCCACCTAATAAATATATCTTTAAAAAAGGTGCAATAACTACAACATCCCTATCAATCTAAGAACATGGTATGTTTTTCATATCACCATCTTCTGTAATATAGTTCAACGATCTTTTCCTTCATTTTGACATCTATATGATATGAAGGACTAACTCAGAAAAAAAAAAAAGCAAACCAAGTGTAAACAAAAGACTTTGTTGTTATACACAAAGGATAAACTAGATAAATAGTAACAGCTTAAATCATCAGTTACTTTTAAAAGGACCAACATGCTCAGTAGGTAAAATGATCTTGCCTTTACCTTCACTACAGAATGACTTGTCAGCACCTGAGAATCGCACAGTCTCCTTTACAATTTTCTCAATTTTACAATATTCACACATTGCCATTACATTATTTATTTTCTTATATTCATCAGAACAATTCTTGCCACAGAATTGAAACATTTTACCCTGTAAAGAAATAATCATCAAGTACTAATTAAACATTTGGTTTATCTTTTGGAAATCCTTATTCCCTCCTACTTTCAAAACAAGTAGTGTAATTTTGAGAGATGAAAAAGCCAGAAATGATTTTACAGATAGACCATTTTATACCCAAACCCTTTACCATGATCCTATACTTTACCTTATAGTCAAGAAGTTCTGGTTTTGTGGCAAAAAGGCGGTTACAGTGCTGACACTTGAGTTTCACAACACTTCGTGCGAACCCAACGTGCTGGGATTGGGCAGCAAGTCGCTGGAGACCAGCTGCAGCAGAGCTACTGATGGAGGTGGGAGAAACAGCAGAGGTGTTCCCCCCTCCTGCTGATACTGTTGAACTTGTGGGGATGCTTACAATTACTTGGCCCTGAGACAAGGGCACTACTGAAGAATTCATCCCTGTTGGTTTGTTGAACAAATTCTGAAAAATGAAACAAACAAAATGATCAATGTAATCATTTGTTCAAACAAATAAGCACTGAGTGCCTAAGTTTGACAAGCATAGTTCAAGGTACGTAAGATACACCTGTGAACAAGCAAAACTCCCTACCTTTGAGCAGCTTATAAATGAATGTGCAGTGTCTCTTATACCCAAAAACTAAAATAATTTAATGATCTCCTTTTTTATTTCATTTTTTTAACTTTTTATAAAAGTAATCTCTGTGCAACATGGGGCTCAAACTCACAATCCCAAGATCAAGAGTGGTTCGCCCTGTTGACTGAGCCAGCCAGGGCCCCAAACTAATAACCTCCTTTAAAAATAATATCCTGGGGCGCCTGGGTGGCTCAGTTGGTTAAGCGACTGCCTTAGGCTCAGGTCATGATCCTGGAGTCCTGGGATCGAGTCCCACATCGGGCTCCCTGCTCAGCAGGGAGTCTGCTCCTCCCTCTGACCCTCCCTCCCCTCATGCTCTATCTCAGTCTCTCTCTCAAATAAATAAAATCTTTAAAAAAAATAAAAATAAAAATAATATCCTCCCAATAGATAATCTGGGTAATAACAATTCCACTTAATGTTACAGGAGGCAATTAAATGACAATCCTCCAAATACAGCAAGAGTCAAAGAATCCACGTTTAACAAGACTGAGATAGAAGTGTAAGCAATCGGGGCAGGAGCAAACACCTACCAAGTTTACACACTACATAGTAGGCATCTCACTGACTGGAACAGAGGAAGATTTTTGACGCCGTACCTGGAACGCGACAACACAGCTGTAGCTGCAGAAGTTGCGTATACTTCCATCAGACATGGCGAGGTGATACTGAGGGATTGCTGAGGTTTTACAACTGTTACACTGCACTTGTACACCTAAGCAAATCAAAATAAAAACTAATGAGTAATATATACAAATGTTCACAAATGTTTGAGAAAATAAGTAAGTATCCAATATATGAAAATTCAAGGGCCAGGTCAAGTTGCAGGAACTGAAACTAAATCACGTCACATACAAACAAAAACTAACTTAACATTAATAATACTTCTTTTAATTTAAAGTAGGCACAGTCTACCCTGAAACTACAAAGTAAATGAATACGGAAATAAATCAGGTGTGGATAAAAAGATATATTAAAGAAGCCGTATGAAATTTTTTTGGAAAAGGGGAATGCACAAATAGGCAAGCAAATAAATAAACATAACTTAAGCAATCAAGGCAAGAGGTGGTATTTTACAACACAGATCTGAAATATTTTAAATTTGCCTTAAAAATCAATTATATTTGGATAAAAATCTATACTATACAAAAAAGCAATAACCATAACTTTTGTCAACTATTATTACTTATATAGTTTATGAAACCAGTATTACCTGCAGAAGTAACCATTTTAACTCTGTAAGCAGATAAGCAATTAACAGAACAGAAAAGCTCTGTCTTTCCCAAGCTATTGGTATTTTCAATCATTTCTGCTGAGGATCTCAATGATTTGCAAAGCGCACATGGTGTAATTTTGGCTGATTTCTATTAAGAGAATAAAATAACATTCATTTTTACCAAATTATAAGTAAAAGCATAATTCTTTGAAATGTTTATACTTAACACTGTTGAAATATTTTAAATTAGTGGCTTTCAAACTTTTATGATTACAATCCTCAGTAAGAAATAAATTTTACAAAATGACCCAGTACATATTTCTGAAGTTTTGTTTGTGTATTACACATATATGTATATAAAACTGAGAAAGTTTCATAAAACAATATAAATTATGATAACATGTGATGCATATTTATATTTTCCATTCTATTCTATTTCATTAAAAAATAATGCTGACTACAACCTGGCAATTAATTTGGGGATCTATTAATTGACTGTAACTATAGTTTTAAAAATGGAATTTAAAAAAATTACACAACAGGGAATTCATGCTCTTACACTATGCTAAAAATTAGAAGAACCCCCCCCAACAAAAGGTGCTATATATGGCAATAAAATGTGAATTCAAGAGAATAAAATTAGAAAATTCACTACCAAATATTCTACCACTAATAACAACAAAGCACACAAAGCAATAAGCAAGTAAGCAATAAAGTTGGAGCAAACTTTGGATATCACAAGTGTCTAAATATAAGCAATCAATGAGTCTCTTAAGTTCCCACAAAATTAGGGATTCAGCAGCAAGTAATGCTAAATACTACTAACATATCACACATTTAGGATAACCTATGAAGTATATCCAGTATCCATTATCTCTGTGAAGAATTTGCTGATAGTTTCATCTTGTCCTATCAAGTAGAACTGATCTGTGCCCTGCTGTACCATAATACTTCCATCATACCATCTCTACTCAGTTAGTTGTAGGTCTATCTCCCCCAGGAGACAGTAGCCCCTCAAAGCAGGAATTACATCTAATGTTTGTTTAATGAATTATGTATGACGAAGGAAAGAAAGCAGCAGATATGACCATCTTCAATATGCCAGTTTCTATAGTAGGTGCTTTCTCATTCTTACTTCACATAATCCTAACATCTCAGTAACAGTAGTAGTATAATATCCATTCACAGATAAGAAAATGGACCCAGGGAGTTTAACAGCTTTCCCCAGGTAAAATTCTATTTGAATAGAAAGTAAAGGAATCAAACCAAGATCTGCTTTACTTCTAAATTCACGTTCTTTCTCTACACTATAGTACATATTAATATTTGAAAAATTTATAGATATTGGCTAAATTAAAAACAATAAATAATTTAAAATTAAGATGATTCAACCTATTTCTCCTTCTCTTGCGGAATATGAACCATCTTTCAATGGACTGAATCCAAGTAACTTTTAGTACTTGAACAATATCAAGAAAAGTCTTTTGGACAAGGATAAGCTCATGAAGATACTGTCTTTTTTTCTCCCTGTGAGGGTAAAACCAAGGTGTTTCTAGAGGAAGGAATAAATAGTAAAGCTAAGCCCCTTTAATGTGCTTCATAATAACAAGAAATAAATGGAAACAATGTATAATATTGAAAATTCCAAAATCACTGCAAAGTATTAAGAATACGTTAAAAGGGGCGCCTGGGTGGCTCAGTTGGTTAAGCGACTGCCTTCGGCTCAGGTCCTGATCCCAGAGTCCTGGGATCAAGTCCCACATTGGGCTCCCGGCTCGGCGGAGAGCCTGCTTCTCCCTCTGACCCTATCCCCTCTCATGCTGTTTCTCTCTCTCTCTCTCTCAAGTAAATAAATAAATAAAATCTTTAAAAATATTTAAAAAATTTAAAAATTTAAAAATTTAAAAAAAAGAATATGTTAAATTTCTCAAATGACATCACATTCATGAATCTTGTTAGACTGTATAAAGATTCACTAATTTAAGGAAAAGAATGATCAGCTAATGTATGTGAAACATTACAGTGCCTTCCTGTGAAACAGGAAGGCACTGTAAAATTAAAATTAAAAATATTCCTTTGGACTTATGAATTTTAAAATCTAATTTGTGATCAAAATTTACTAACAAAATACAAATATAGTAAAAATGAAACTGCCTAACAGACATTTGCCATACAGCATTCAAGTGATTCATCTTCTATAAACCTCATCAATTCACAAAATAACATATAACCTACATTTATTTTTCCTATTTCATGAAGAAAAGGAAAAACCTCTTAAAAACAATTAATTGTAAGATTTTTATTGCCTGAATTGCAATTTCAACTATATGGATTTCATGGCAAGAATATATATGTAACTTGTGACCTTACCTTATCAAATAAAACAGTATACATTTATATGCAAACCAAAAATATATTTCAAAGAAAACTATTCACCAAAAAGATGAGACTGGGTATCTCTGGGAGATGGCATTATTTTTCTTCTTTGTGCATTTTCAAAATATTGTTAAAAAACATGAATCATATTTGAAATATAAATGCCATGCCCTAAAAGCATGTATTTCAAATGCATGAAGAAAAAAATACGCTACTTATAAAACTCTACAAGTGGGTTTTTAATACACATTCATTTGACAAGTACTATTTATATGTAAAAATATTAAGCTAATAATAACATCTTATCTCTCTCTCTCCCTCTGACAAATAAATGAAATCTTAAAAAAAAATAACTTCTTAGTATTTTTATGACAATATTTTCATAAGTAAGTTCTACCAAAACAAGTAGATCCTCCTGAAAGGAACAAAGATACTGGGGTTAAATACAGTCATGTACCTGCTTATATGCTGTGACACACGCTGAGCTACAAAACTTCTTAGACTGGCCCTCGATCTGAAGCATGTGGCACTGCCCAGAGCCACTGTAACAGTAGCCCCCACAGTTCTCACAACAGTTCATGGTGAGGTTGTTGGCAGAGCGAAACTTCGAGAAGCAGGCATCACTGCAAAGTTTATGTACCACATTCTGGTAATTAACTTCATGTCGAATCTAGGAATTAAAAAACAACACACCAACAACAAGCAGAGACCATTAAAAGCTGTTCTTTTAAGCACAAACATTAGATCTCCCTGGACCTCCCGCCCAAAAGTAAGATGACTTACAACAGCATTCTTCTGACACATGCTGCATTTGGTTGAAATGCTGTTCGTATTTATGGTGACAACAGGTTTCCTTTTCAGTTCGTACGTTGACAGACATGACTGACTGCAGAAATCTTTACTAGTGGTGCTATTTTCAAACTGGGCACTGATCACATCCTTTGGATTTAAAATATCTCTAAAAATGATAACAAAAATAAAATAAGCCACAGTATCATTTGTATTTTTCCTTTTTGTCAGTAAAAATAAATAAAACAGGGGCGCCTGGGTGGCTCAGTCGGTTAGGTGTCTGCCTTCAGCTCAGGTCATGGTCCCAGGGTTCTGGGATCGAGCCCTATATCGGGCTCCCAGCTCAGCGGGGAGTCTGCTTCTCCCACTCCTCCCCGCTCGTGCTCTCTCTCTCTAATCTTTAAAATAAATAAATAAAACAGAGACAAGGGGCGCCTGGGTGGCTCAGTTGGTTAAGCGTCTGCCTTGGCTCAGGTCGTGATCCCAGGGTCCTGGGATCGAGCCCCACATCGGGCTCCCTGCTCCGCGGGAAGCCTGCTTCTCCCTCTCCCACTCCCCCTGCTTGTGTTCCCTCTCTCGCTGTGTCTCTCTCTGTCAAATAAATAAATAAAATCTTTTTTAAAAAATAAATAAATAAAACAGAGACAATTATATATATGTATGGAAAGGGCACTGATAAGAACACATGGGTTTTCCTGGGTAAACGGATAAATTGCTCTGATCCTTAAGTTCTGTTCTATAAACAGAACTAAGACACGGCTTACTTCACAGAACTGTTGAGAGAATCAGTATACTGTGTTTCAAGACTAAAAGGATATACATCAAGCAGTTTTATTCATTATCTCTAATAGGTAGGATGATAAGAGACGTTAATTTTCTTCTTTAGGCTCTTCCATATTTTCAAAATATTCTTTAAAAATATATTACACTTGAAAAAATTTAAAAACACCATCTTTTAAAAGTAAAAATACAGGGGCACCTGGCTGGCTCAGTTGGTGGAGCATGAGACTATTAACCTTAGGACTGTGAGAGAGAGCCCCATGCTGGGTGTAGAAATTACTTAAAAATAAAACCGTTAATAAATAAATGTAAAAATACATTTCAAGCCACACAGTGTATACTCTAGCATAGTTATATAAAATCGAGTACTTCTTTTTTTAAATAATTTAATTTGCAAGCATGAGTAGCAAAGACAATGAAGATTAAAACACTTCTAAGGCCCCCTACCACTCTACACCTTATCCTACCCCCAAACCAGTGTTCCCATATAGCAGTTTATTAATTGTTTAAGTGTAAACCATTTCAAAAGCCAATGGAAGGGGCTCCTGGTTAAGCGACCAACTCTTGATTTCGGCTCAGGTCATGATCTCAGGGTCATGAAATCAAGCCCCAAGTTGAGCTCTGGGCTGAGCATGGAGCCTGCTTGAGATTCTCCCTCTCCCTCTCCCTCTGCCCCTCCCTGGCTCATGCTCACACTCACTGTCTCTCTTAAAAAAAAAAAAAAAAAAGCCAATGGGAAAAAAATGCCTTTATGGAAATTTTCTAAATGTTGCCTCCCTCTCATGAGTACACACCACATAATAGTATATAAACCATTATACTCATTCTTGCATCTTAAACAGATTACACTAATAGAGTACTTTTTAGAAAAGATTACAAATATCTCTGCTTCAATAAAAGATAATAGTAAACATAATAATCATCACAAGAAACACCTCATATGCTATAATACATAACTCCATACATCATCTTCTATACTTAGTAGCTCTAGGCTCTTCTACGTTCTGCATTTGTTTTTGCCTTCACAATTATTTTTATTTTTATTTTTTAAAGATTTTATTTATTTGTATAACAGAGAGAAAGAGAGAGCACAAGCAGGGGAAGCAGCAGGCAGAGGGAGAAGCAAAACTTTCTGCTGAGCAGGGAGCCCGATGCGCAACTCGATCCCAGGACCCTGCGATCATGACCTGAGCCGAAGGCAGACGCTTAACCAACTCAGCCACCCAGGCGCCCCAGTTATTTTTTAATTAGGGTTTTTTTAAAAAGATTTTATTTATTTGACAGAGAGAGAGAAAAAGAGAAAAAACATGAGCAGGGGGAAGGGCAGAGGGAGAGGGAGAAGCAGGCTCCCCATTTAGCAGGGACCCCGACATGAGGCTTGATCCCAGGACCCTGGGATCATGACCTGAGCTGAAGGCAGATGCTTTAACCAACTGAGCCACCCAGGTGTCCCTAGGTTTTAATATATTTCATTTATAGAAGTATCTATTGAGCACTTATATTGAGCCAGGCACTAGCTATACCCTGTGTCACAATATGGTACAAGCACGCACTCCAGGAGCTCATAGTATATTGGGACAAAAAGACAAATGACATATAAAATACCATAACAGAAGCATCCTTAATATATAAAAGTGAAATCATTATGAAAAAGCATAACGTACAATAGAAACAGAAATGAAGAAACAATTATTTCAGACACTATGTGACATGAAAGGCTACCCAATAGGTGACATTTTAGCTGTATCTTAAATAGGAGCTTCCTAGAAGGTTAAGGAGATAAGGGTTGGGGTGCAGCATGGATCAAGGCAAGGAAGAATAAAAGTAGGTATATGTCTCACTCCCCTCAGTATGCCTAGCATCCAACTACGTTACATCTTATTGTACATTATATCTGATTCCAAATAGTAAAACTTCAGAAATGATACAGACAATCCTGAAATAGTTACTTCTTTGAGTATCATTATATCAAGTAATCTGATCTTTCTAATAGTATTTAAAAATTTATCCTCCAAATTACCTCTTTTACGGAGGATTTGAAAAAGATTTTTAAAAACAGTGTTAGGTCCTTATAACTGAACTAACCTGAAAATTAAATGATAATTAGCCAAAATATACTTAGAGTTTAGGTTAAATTCAAGATGTTAAGAGATATGGTTAATAAAAGATTAAGAAAAATAAAACTTACTTCAAATAGCTATTGAGTTTCTTGTAACCTAAGTGCTGCCGCTATATTTCTACTGGTCTATAAACATAGTGGCTATCAGGAAGGAAATCTTTTCTACCTCCACCCATTCAAATTAAATTGAAATCCTTCTTGGGATCCTTCAAGGGATTAACTTACAAATCAAACCTGTTTGATTATATGGACTATATGGGGGCCAGGGGGCGGGGTGTTAGCAAAATTAACCAGCTATGTGACACTGAGGAAATCTTTTAACTTTTTTGAATCTAATTTCCTTATATTTAAGGTACGATCGATCCAATTGAACAATTTTATAGTCAGATAAACCAGACTATCCCAAACTGCTGTAATGACTATGCAAATAAGAGGAAAACAGGGGGGCCTGGGTGGCTCAGTCAGTTAAGCGTCCGATTATTTTTTTTTTAAGATTTTATTTATTTAGGGCGCCTGGGTGGCTCAGTCGTTAAGCGTCTGCCTTCGGCTCAGGTCATCATCCCAGGGTCCTGGGATCGAGCCCCACATCAGGCTCCCTGCCTGGCAGGAAGCCTGTTTCTCTCTCTCCCACTCCCCCTGCTTGTGTTACTGCTCTCGCTATCTCTGTCTCTGTCAAATAAATAAATAAAATCTTTAAATTAAAAAAAAAAAAGATTTTATTTATTTATTTGTCAGAGAGCACAGGCAGAGGGAGCAGCAGACAGAGGGAGAAGCAGGCTCCCTGCTGAGCAAGGAGCCCGATGCGGGACTAAATTCCAAGACCCTGGGGATCACAACCTGAGCTGAAGGCAGTCGCTTAACAGACTGAGCAATCCAGGCGTCCCTAAGCATCCAATTTTTGATCTCAGCTCAGGTCTCTATCTCAAGGTCGTGAGTTCAAGCCCATGTTGAACGGAAAAAAAAAAAGGAAAACAAGGGAAGGAAAGGTAAAGTGGTAAAAAGGAGATGAAAGAGTAGTTCAGGAAGTAAAACAATGCAAGGAAAATCAAGACTGATCAGGGGTTGAGGGCTGAGCAGCAACAGAAAAGAGACCTTATAAAATGAGAAGGGGAGAAAAGAAAGAAAATGGGAGAGAAAAGGCAGAGGAGACATGCAGGTAAGGAATACCTGATAGAGAACAGTAAGAGGCAAATGGAAAAGAACAGGGGTGAAAAAAGGATAATAGATAAGTGAATGAATGAAGAGGTAGAACAGTTAAGTAGAGTAAGTGAATGAATGAAGAGGTAGAAGAGTTAAGAATCAAGGAATGACAGGCTGAAAACATGGAAGATTTATGGATAAGACCAAACATAACAAAAGACAAATGTAATCTTAAAGGATAACTGAACTACGTATGATCAAGATGGATAAGACATGACACATAGGTGAAAATGACCTATCTCCAGATAACGCTAGGCAAACCAAAGGGATTTAATAAATTTAGATGAAAAGAATAATATGTATGGACAAGACTTTAAAAACACAGACAGAAAGAGGGCACACATTTTAAAACTTCTGTGAGTTTTCTACGGTCATTTTATAATTCACTGATATATCTCTGAAAATATCTGTGACTATTATTATGAAAGAAGAAATAAAACTGAAATTTTAGAAAGTGCCAATCACTAAAGTAGAATTAAATAAAGAAGCGTAAGAGGAAGTTATTATATGAAATTATCTCATGGCAAAACAAAAAAAACCTATAAAAATCATAATTTTCAAGTTGATTTAATCTTAGAATCTGATAATGAATATGAGAATATAGAAATGAAGTACACACTTTTAAAAGTATGTTTTATAATTCAAACATTATAAATAAAGAAGTCTATTTTCACTAAATCAAACATGAAACATAAAAGGAAGCCACGTAACTACCAGAAAGACTTCTAACCACATTCAAATTTCTTTCAAGTCTCTAAAATGCCTTTTTCCAACTAAACCAGAAGAGGGAGCACCTTCTTCCCTTTCCAGACAGAGAAAAGGGAAGGATTCATGTGAGGAACTATAAATACAAATATCTAAACTATTAAACTGTGGTTTGAATAGCTTAATAATAGAGGCCAATGTGTTTCAGAACAAGAACATTATTCATCTTTCTCTGAGTTATTTAAGCAGTTTCTAACAATCACCATATCAAATCAAACAAAATGAATTCATATTCTTCAAATATATCAGAAAGACCTTATCAAGGTCTAAGGTCATATTCTTTCGATTTTCAACACTAAAATGGAACCTCTGAGGTAGTTCAGAGATACTGAGAAGATAAAAATATATACACTGGAGTCCTTTTAAAGGTTAAGTTTTAAATGAATTCCAATTAGATAACAAGATACATTAACTTTAAATATTTGTGGATTTAAGTATCTATTACCTCTAAGATAAAAGCATCTCAACTAACAAGGATGGGAAGGCTTGTTTCAAAAACATCTCTTAATATATAAAAGGCACATTATTTGCAGTTAAAATAAGCTGAGCACCTAGTATTCAGAAAAACTGAGAGGCGTGCCTAGGTGGATCAGTCAGTTGAGCACCCAACTCTTGATTTTGGTTCAAGACATGATCTCAGGGTCGGGAGAGCAAGCCCCTCAACATCAGGCTCCATGTTCATTGGGAAGTCCGCTTGAGATTCTCTTTCTTCCTCTCCCTCTTCCCCTCCCTCCCGCTTGCTCTCTCTCAAATAAATAAATCTTTAAAAAAAAGGAAAACCTGAGAGCAGCAACATGCTGTGGGACTTCTCAATAAACATGGAAATGTAGAAAATTAAACAATACACAGATAAGAACAGAGTACTTTAAAAGGAAACAAACAAAGAAGATAATTTAGAATTCTGCTATACTTTGAGCAACTTGAACAAGTTTTCTTGGTGGGAGGCGGTGGTGGGCGGGCAGGTGGAACTGTATATCCAGTGAGGCACAGCGTGGAGCAGAAAAGCTGAGTAGACCCTTTCCTCTGATAAGCAGTTTGCCCCTTCTGGAGGATTTTTTTACAACCAGAACAGGAAACTCGGACAGCTGTGGCTGGAACTGAAGGAAGCATTTTATTCATGCCAGATGACACCAGTGAAGGCTGAAAGCCAGTAGTCAACTGCGGAGCTTAAAAAAAAAAAAAAAAAAGGTAAAAGAAAAAATGTTTTACTATTTGTCTGATTTTAAGGATATATATCCTTCTTTCTCTTCTAGAACCAGTGTTGAAACCCAAAACTAATTATGCAATATATAATTAAAGCCATTCTAAATGGGCAGAGAACTGCCTAGTTTACTAACACAAGTAGATACTTCCTCTCATCCTACTGGTCAGAATAAACAAACATGATGCATTTACTCAGTTCTGTTTCTTACCAAGAGGACTGCCACTGACTGAAAAGACAGCACTAATTTTCAATTCCCCTTCTTGAGTTTTTTGCTGTTGGCCATGACTATACTCCTTTAAAAAAGAAAATAAATAAATAAATACTTATAGAAAAGAATTAATACAATGTGTCTAAAGAAATCCAGACATTCAATACATTTTACTTTGGCTACACAAGGCAGAGAAAATGTTCATACTACATTACCATTAATAAGAAATAAAGCAAGCAAACGGTAATTGCAATAAGGGTATAATAGGTTTGCATATGCTGAAAAATTAAGAGGTAAAAAATGAAAGTAGCTACCCAATTAGCCTGTAGCACTACCAGATATTTAAATTCTTTTTGAAAATTCTTACTATTACAGTATGTTAAGTTGCTGTTTATTATAAAAGTAATACACACTATACAAAGTTTAGACAGGTAGAAATAAGGAAAAAATTCTACTCATGTTTCCATCACACCAAAACCACCACTGTTATTCTTTTGGTATATTTCTTTCCAGTCTTTTCCCCTCCTGTATTCAGAGGCTTTATTCTTCTACATAGTTGTAATTAAACTGAATATATCATTCTAATAAAAATGATTTCTTGATCACTGAGTCAACTGAACATTTGCCTATTATTACATTGGTGTTTTATAAACTGGATTCAAAGAATCCCTGAGGTCTACAGATATATTCTAGGGAGTCTGAGAATTCTAAGAGAATATTTTTGAAAACCGTGTATTTATTTCAATGACTTTTTTGGCGAATATAAACATATTTTTCATCATGAATAACCACATATAACTGAGTTATACTACAAGTTTTCAGTGCTGTTATTTGTTTTTACAATTATATTATTTCACTGTGAAATCTGTAAGTGGCAGATTTAACTTTTATTTTCATTCATTGTTTATTACATTGAAACTTGCAAAACCCCAGCAGACCTCTTATTCTTGGAATTCTCAGACAACTCCAACATAACCCCTTTTTTTTTTGTGGTAAGAGATATCTGGTCCATTACTCACGTTTGAGAAATATTGATAGATATATTATTTAATAGACATATCAGATTACACAGGGATGAGACTGGGATGAGGTGAGTGAGGCACTTGCCTCAAGCACAAAATTAAGGTACCAAAAATCTCAGTAATCAAGACAATATTTTAATGCAATATTTTTTTAAATGTACAATCCATGATGAACAAAACAAGAAAACTTATATAAAACGACAGGATCGGTATTACTGATTTTTCCTTTGGCCTCAGTCTCCAATTTAATGGTCCTGCATGACACTGAGAATATATAACCATAACCCAATGTCAGTCCACTTGTTTCCCAACATTTGGTATAATCAGAAATACCATGATGAACATCTCTGTGAATACTCATACTCTCATACTTAGCACTATGTTCTAAAGGAAGAATTCTTGAAGTGATACTACTAGGTAAAAAGGTATACAGTCAATGTTCCTGATACACAATGACAGTTTTTTTTTTAACTTCTAATTAGATTTATTCTAGCAATTTGTGTAAAAAGCCATTTAAAAGTCTTTCCCCAGTTGTCTCAATCTGCAATTCTTTTTGTAATATCCACTTATAATGTACCAATATTAACTTTTGTAGCACGTTATCAACATTTTTTCAATATTTACTTCTACAATTTTTTATGTACTGAAGTTTCCATTTCTATGCCAAAAATCTAGTTTTTACCTTTGTGATTTCTTTGATTTCTCATAAAGTTGTACTTCCACAATAAAATGCTAAGAAAGTGGTTTCATTGTTTTTAATATAGTCCTTTAATCCAGAGGTCAGCAAACTTTATCTGAAAAGGGCCAGATACTAAATATTTTCAATTGTGGAGGCCATACTACCACAAACTACTCAACTCTGCCCTGGTAGACCAAAAGCATCCATAGATAATATATAAATGAATGAATGTGGCAATGATCCAATAAAACTTTATTTACAAGAACAGTGTACAAAAAAACAAAAACAAAACAGAAACACAGAAAGCAGGCTGGATTTGGCGTGCTGCTGATAATTTGCCAACCCCTAATTTAATCCACCTGGGATTTATTTACTTTGAGGTTTAAAGGGCATTTTTTCCCTTTCTCTGAATAATTACTGAATTCCTTCCATTCACTGTTAACATACCAAATTGTTTAAAAAATGTCTCTGTGGCAATCTATTCTGTATCATTATCAGCCTATTTTTTTTTTTTAAGTAAACTCTACCTCCAACATGGGGCTCAAACTCACAACCCCGAGATCAAGAGTCGCACACACTACCAACTGAACCAGCCAGGCGCCCCATTATCAGCCTCATTGTAGGATATCACACTATCCTAATAAACCTAATTGTGACAGGTTTAACCATTTAATAGTCCGCCACTATCAAACTATTTTTTAGAACACATGTGTAATGTTTGTGTGTGTACATGCCTATTCTTCAAAACATCAGAACCTACTGATATTTTCATCAGAATTGTATCGAAACTCGATCTTAATTTAGGAATCACTGACACCTTACATTTAAAAAGTCTCTCCATTCTATCAAATTGTCTTTTATCTGACATAAGTACTTTTTAAAGTTGCTTTGCCAAAAGTAATACTATATATTTTCATATTATCTGAGAAACAATGATTTACAGAAATATTGCTCTTTTATATAACTAAAATTCAATTAACTACTTCACTGAACTTTCATGAATTCTCTTAATTCTCTAATAAAGATCCTTACTAGCAAATGATGATAATTTTGTCTCCCCTTTTCCACTATTTCTTCTAATTTCTTTAACATGTACTAGGTCGAAAATCCAAGAGTTAAATAATGCTGACGCCAGTAATTTGTGTTTAGTAATCATTAACAGGATTCCATCATTTTACTCTTAAATTTAATGATTGATATTAATCTGAAGCAGATATTTCCTTACCATGATTAAGAGTATCTATTATAAGAAATGCATAGTAAATTACATGAGATGTCTTTTTGCATCTACATATCTATTCATACAGTCTTATCTGACCAGTTGAAGTTATGTATTAAAAGATTTCCTATTATTGACTCATCCTGACATTCCTACGTTATATATTAAAGCAAACTTCAAGTAAAAAAAATTTTTTTTCATCTCAGAAAACTCCCCCCAAAATCAATACTCATTGGCATACTTTAAGGGTCTCCAGTCAGCTCCTTTTCTCACTGTTTATGACAATTATTCCAAACTTCTGATTTTTCCTTAAGCCTTAAGTACCTATTACTTCTGTAACATAGTAAAATAAGTATGTATCTTAAGTACTCTACTTATACACCCCAGAATGCCTTCAAGGCAGAATCATGTTTCTGCCAGTAACCCCCTAATAATGACTAACTTTACAAACATTTAATTATAAACAATGACTAATAACTTGAGAAGTGAAACTCTGATGACTCAAAGACTTTCTGAAGCAGAAAAGCAGGTGTCAAAACAAAACAAAACAAAACAAAACAAAAATCCTTTATCAATAGCTTTACCTTCCCTTTACCATAAAGGAAGACCCGTATCACTACCCCAAGACAGTATTATAGAAACGAAGAACCCAGACCTTTGGCTAAGTTAATCTAACATACCTAAAGAAAGCCCCAACATTTAATTATCGCACTCCACTTTCTAAAACTATATGACTCATTATTGTGACAACTACTTTCCCATCCTAATTCATTTACTTTAACGAGACTAAAATTGGCTCTTTTGTTATGAACAAAAAGGAGAAAAAAAACCATGGCTTTAATGTAGTATTCACTGAATTTCAAACTTTTAGAACCTATAGAAAAGGGGAAAAGGAAAAGTGAGGTCCCTGGCTCTTTAAAGTTTCTATTTTAAAATCTTCTCTAGGCATTTTAAAAAAGGAAACAACTTTTATTTATATAAAGATTGTCACTGATAATAAAAAGACCTTGATTATGGCCCCATAGGGGCTCCTTCCTGGCCACATGGCCTTGGGTAACTAACTTAACCTTTATGAACCTCAGTTCCCTCATCTACAAATGGAGTTAATATCACCTACTATGGCCATCTTATGTAAGAAAGACAAAACATAGTACACATAAAAGCATCTATACCTGTAAAAATATTACAGAAAATATAGTAACATGCAATGGGGATCTGAATAAAGAAATGAAACTGGAAGGCCAAATGATATAAGGCCAATAACAGAGGCAGGAGGATGGCAACTGGTGAACCCAGAAAATCATAACTGAAGAAATAATCAAGAACAAATGGGTAGAAGTCTTTAAACATATATGCACAAATTTCAACACTTAGGTGCTTTTGAAAGTAAAGAAAGTATGGAAAGTAACGAAATTGACACCAAAATGAATTGTGTAAAAAGGAGAATTAGGAAGTGAGCAGAAAGCAAAACTACAAGTTAAGCAAAGAGAAAATCCAAAAGAGGTTTGACAAAGGGGCAATGAGCTAAAACTATGATCTTATTAAATCATGAGAAAAGTTAAGACTACTGGAGATTGATAGTCAAGAGTAAAGCCTGACCACAACTGTTAAACCTATCAGTATTTTATGAAAGTTATGTTAACAGTACTGTTTTAGAGACTATTAAAATAATACACTGGAACTCCCTTTTCCAGTCTATGGGAAATGAGTAAGAGTGATAAAGCATTAGGCAGTATTGAACAGCAAAAATACAGGTTTCCAATGGTCATGGTAGAGAAATACCTTAAAAGAACAGGACAATGAAGAAGGGAGAGGAAGAGGGGAGGGAAATGGAAGGGGAAAGGAAAATGAAGGAAAGAGGTAAAAGAAAAGAAAGACCAGGTATCTATAGTTTAACAGAAGGTCCCTGGAGGGATTTCTAGAAGAATTATAAAAGATCTGATCCTACAGAATTGATGTGGTAATAAGAGAAAGGATTTCTTAGAGAAAACCTAGGTTTATCCACTCACATGCTGGGACTGCCTCAGTTGTAGTGTCAGGGTAAAGAATGCCTCTGGACCTTATGCCCAGGACCTATACACATTCCTGCTTGGTTCCGAAGAGTCCAATCAATCAGGTGCCTTTGAGAAGTTCTTTCCTGTAATCATGATGAAACCTCATATTCGGCATTTTGTAACACATTAGTACACTCTGAATAGTGTATAAAAAGTAGGTGTTTCTAACAATTCCATCCTATTGGTATTCCCCAACCACTGGAACCACTGAATGTTTTTTTAAAAAAAGTAATACAAATAATCCTTCCTGATGCCCTCTTCCCTGAAGGTATTTATTTTGTCTTTGCTATAACTGCCTTTCCATCCTAAAGAAAGTGCCACTGGTTCACATACAGAGAAAGAGTGATGCCTTTGGATCCCTGCCAGTATTATGATTTCTTATGAATTTCCCATGTCCACATTAGGGCATGTAGAGACAGGAAATCTTCCCTGTATACAGATATGTTTGTGGTCTTCTGAAGCATACAGTGCCACATGAACTTTTCCTAAGTTATCAGTACATTTAGCATGCTTTCAATCTACCTTGTATTTAACTATTTTCATATTCCTACTTTGCCATCTTCTGTGTTGCCACCACACCCATAACCATCCAGCTCCTAAAGCTTTATCATCACTACCACCCTATACAGCTACCTTCCACTGAGCACCAAGAAATTCCTGCTTAACTGAGTATCAATCTGATTCATACAAAGTATCTATTCTTCCATCTCCTTACTATAAAACAGTGGTTCTGAACAGCAGTTTTGCCCACTCCCCCCCATAGGACATATGGCAATGTCTGGAGACACTGGGGGGTGGAAGTCCTATTGGCATCAAGTAGGTAGAGGCCAAGGACGCTGCTAAACATACTACAATGCCCAGAACAGCCCCTCGCAACAAAGAATTATCTGGCCCCAAATGTCAATAGTGCCAAGGTTGAGAAACTGTGCTCACAGACATCTGAATGAAAGAACCTCTTCTACAGAAGTCTCACATTCTCAGCCCTCCAAAACAATAGAAACATGTGGAAAGATAACCTTTCTCCAGATCAAATATAATTTCAGAGAAATAACTAATTCATGCTATCTTTACTTCTCAGCATCTGAATTCATGCCATCTGTGTAAAACATAGGCACCCTCAAATAATTGCTGACTTTGTGCACTCATCCCTCAGTCCCCTTCGCATACTCCAAAATGATTACTGCACCTGAAAGAACTTTTTTCTTCCATTTCAACTACTGTAATATCATTAACTACATGGATATTTTCACTGATTTCAGGACTTCAGTTATGGGATCTCTGGAACTTTTACCTCCAGAGCAATCTTGAAATAGAACTTGATACCCTGATTAATTACAGATCCAAAATTTGGAATCCCATTTCACCTATCAAAGCCGCCTCTACCTTCGACCCACTGGTCAAATTAACTGGTTCTTCAATCAATTAACTCTTTCAAAGATAACCTGTCCATTAATTCCTCCCCCCCCAAAATCCTTAAATCCATACAGAGTGTGTACTTCATTAGCAATAACTGCAAAGGCTTATTACTACCTTACATAAACTCAATCACAACATAAACTCATGAACAACTATAAACCTACAACCATGTCTGCTGTATCAATCTCAAATCCTTAAAGACTCACTTTCCCTAGTCTTGCACTGAAATTGTAAAAATCACAGAACAGTGGTATTAAAGAACAAAGTGGATTAAAGGCCTAAATCACTACTCAGGAAAAGTTTCATATAATTCTTGATTCCTTAGCATTACTCTCACAAGATAATTCAAATTACCTCAATCTTCATTAAGAGTCTACTCTCACACTGTCAACAAACTACTTTACTTCTTAATCAAGAACTTCCTCTCTCAAATGAGTAATTCATGTGTGGAACAAAAAAGAAGGGGGAAAGTAAAGGTGAAATGTTTACTTGAGCATTGTCAGGTTCATCTTTAATTTTGTCTAGTAGTCCCTGCTGTGGTGCCATTGCTTTGTCATACTCATCATCCAAAGGTTCTTCTTTAATTCTAATATTTGATGCAAAGGAATTCCCCAGTTCCGAACCAATGGATTCTTTATTGGCAAATGGATAGCTGGAATCCTAAAACACAATATAAAGGATTAATAAATATTCAGATTTAAAAATTATTCCTCTTCAGGTTCAACACCCAAAGATAAGCTCATTGGAAATGAAGAACTCTATGGCTATTCATTAGAGTCCCTACGCCTAAAAGTAAAAGTGATCTATGTCTAAATATCAAATACAATAAAGAAACTAAGAGCTGAGGCTTCTCAGAACACCTTCAAAGATGTCCTTACCAAATAATAAAGCAAATTTTTTTAAAAAATCAGTGCTCTACCTAACACATATAGTTACAGTTTAGAAAATGACATAAAGAAAACTTTGACACTTGCCACAGTTACAGCAATCTACATACACACTGAAAACTTACCCTAAAGTTTGTTTCTGGGGTTTGTGGTAAATGGGTATGTAATGTTTCTTCAACTTGATTAGCTATTGAAAGAAAAAAAAAACAAAACAAACACATGTATATGAATAACAAATCTTATAAAGAGTGACCTAAAAAGCTATCATTTGATAATCACCTCTCTTGTCCAATAAAGATGCTTATTAGAGTGAAATGGGTCCCAAAAAAATACCCAAAAGATAGTTTCACTCAAATAAAAGTCTGGCCCCACCTTACTTTTAGCCTCACCTTACACTTTCCTTGCTCAAACCTAAATAAAGTGGTTACTTTAGTCACTATGCTCTGAAAACTACTTGTGTTTTTTCTTCCCCATTTCTGCTTATACCATTCCAAGGCCCCTTTATCTACCTTAATCCCTATATGGTCTTCCAGATTCTGCTCAGTTCAAAATCCACCTCTCCTCCATAAACCTTCTCTGGCCACTGAGTTAAAAATCAGCTTTTTTCTAAGAATACCAAAAACACTGTTTCAATTCTTTGAAAGAAATCTTCTTGTATGGCCCTATGACAAATTCTACCATTGTCTTTAATTATAAATTAAATCTTATGCTATTCAACTGGTCACTCACACTTCTACTACTTGATTTACCCCTTCTACTACTAGATATTATGTTCCTTGAGGATAAATACCCTCATAATTTATCCCACGTAGGGATATCAAAAATATATATTGAATAATATGTATTGAAAAATATAGTATACCTTGTATAGCCTGGTACATAATAGATATGTAAACTAACTGTTCTTTTTAATAATACTGATTTGTTCTTTCTACCATATTTTCCCAGCATTGTCAGAAAAAATATAAGGTTTGCTATATTATACCTTGCTTTCCTTCACATCTATTAAACATTTATTAAAATATTACTATTTTCACTGCACCAGGTTAGGCCCCAAGAATACAAAGATGAATAAGATACAATCTGGTCCTCAATAAACTCCTACGCTGGTAAGTAAGGCAAAACAAATACAGAAGTATAATACTGTAAGAACTACAAACAATGAAGTATAAACAAAATGCTATGGAAATATAGATAAACAATTCATTCTTCATGTAGAGACGTTAGGGATGACTACAGAGTAGAAGAGGTTTATGAGTTAGGCACTGTTGGCTAGAAGAACTTTCACAAGCATATATACAAAGAAAGAAAAGGACATACAGAGAAATGGAATCGCAGGGGGAAAAGAAGGCAAAGAAATAAGAAAATATGTGACATACTCAAGAATGGAACTGGAGCTACAGTATGGGGTACACTGGGCAAAGAGGCTCAAGAGGGGGCCTCAAGAAATTTCTAAAACATAAAATAGAAATGTTATCAAATAGAAAAACCCTCCCTAAGTTGGACTAATTTGTGGGACAGCAGTTTGAATTAGTGCTTACAGCACAAAGAAGTTAAATCCAACTTCAGGTTCCAATGTTCAACCAAAGAAAATGAACAGGTGACTTGAGTATCTTGCCTTCTCATCAAAATATTGCAACCAGGGGAGGGAGAAATGAGGTTTAGAGCTATTTTTCAATCATTTTTACCATTACCAAAAGTTACTGGGAGAAATTCAGTCACTCTGCAAAGAACAAGGATAAAAGAAAAATGACAAGCTTACAATGAATTTAACTGTTCGTATTTCGCTTAGTATCACAAGTAATAAAAGCTATGGTATTATCAGTACGTTGTTATTTACTGTGTTTTATGGCTCTATTCCAACAGTTATTACCTGCTTTATCAAAAAAACTGCTTTTCAACCTTGAATCCAACTCTTTATGGGGTTTATCCAACCGTTTTTCACGTTCATGATAAGTTAGGTCTCTATTTTTCTCCTTTCCAGAAAATGTCTCTTTGCTGTTTTCTCTTACTAGACTAAAATCTTTCCGTATTGACTTAAAGACAGAAACCTGATCAAACTGTTTAGGAAAGTCTTTTTTTAATTTATTTTGAATCTGTATTTCATTTTCATTGTCTGATTCATGCTGTGTGACTCTTCTCTCTACTTCCAAGCTATCATCAGTATGAATTGAAGAAACAAGATTGTCCTTTGAACTAAAATCCTGTTCATCCTCATTGTCACTACCAACGACTGGAATTCCTGCAAGATCCCCAGAGTTCAAAAAATAATCATCTTCATCCAGCAATGAATTTTCAGATCCTGTTTGATTCGGCATTCCATAAGACATGCTGTCAAGGGTAGGAGTTAAGTTGTGGTCTATATCTTCAGACATTTCTGTATCCATGATACCACCACCTTAAAAAGTAAAATACTGTTTAGACAAACGATAGTGCTAAAGATGACCACATTTATAAGGTCTGTCTGGTACTTAACCAAATATATAATTTTTCTTTTCAAACCAAATATAGAAAATAATAGCACACTATTCAATTAGTACTTTGATACAGGTGTGACAGATATGACTATCCAATGTGACAGATAAGGAAACAGGGACCTAAAACTTGATAAGCTATATTAGGTTAGAAAGGAGGCAATGTGATACAGGAAAAAAGTACCAACTTCAGAATCAGACATATCTATGTTGGAATCATAGTGTGATCACTAAAAATCTATGTGATCCTGAGAAGTAAGCTCTCAGGTTTATCTATCAAACAGTATAATACTCACCTTAGAGATTAATTTGTGGTGAGGATTAATGATAGTATGTATAAAAGGCCTTTTAACACAGTGACTGACACACAGAAGGGAATATAAGTGATAATATTAATTATTATAGTGATTATTCTGGGGAAGTGAGATTAGAACCCAAGTCTCTTGTCTTAAGTCTCACTGTCTCTGGTCTAACTCTAATAAAGACAGCAGTTAATGTTTACAATGGTAAATATTTAAACATAGAGAATAAAATTTATCCAAGCCAGAATAAATTTAAAAACTATTTACTGTTTGAAACTACATGTTCACATCTCTCTCATTCCAAAATAAAACAAAAAAACCTCCCGGCCCTTATTTGTTTCCCCAACCCTCATTGACCTCTCCTTCACAGTCAAACCTCTAGAGAAAAAGCCTACAATGGTTTGTTTCTACTTCATCTCCCAGTCATTAATCCTTTGAACTTAATGCAACCTGGGTCCCAACTTCGCATTGGAACTGCTCTCATTAAGATTTTCAGTGATTTCCTAATGGTCAAATCCAACTGATTTTTTTCAATCCTTAGGTGGCGTATCCCTCCTGGAATAAAGGCTTTTAGTTTCTATGACACTATACTTCTTCCTATCTTTCTAACTAGTCTATTAATTTATTTCATATTACCTCTTCCTCTGTTGATGCTCTCAATATGCCAGTTCTCTTCCCATTTTACACATTCGGGACTGTTTAACTCACCACTATAGCTTTCACCTTTGCTGTGAACCTCCTAAGCACTTTAGCTTAGACCTTTCTTCCTAGATTCAGATCTCCACATTCACCTAGCTCCTCTAAGTCCCTAGGGATCTCCAACTTAGTACTTCTAAAACCAAGCCCATCATGTTCCATTCCAAGCATACTCTTCTTGTATTTCCATCACTTGATCAACATCATCACCAAGCCAGCAGTTTGCTCATGAAAGAGAATCAGTCCAATTCTCCTTCCCTCTGGACAAATTCTGTCAACTGTACTACTTAATATGTCTCTAATCTTCTCCACATGGCACCACTCCAACACTCCACATCTCTTACTGCAGACATCTACATGAACATCTAGGAAGCAACCATATTCTTGCAAGCCCTATCCCTAAACTACATTAACTGATCCATGAGCAAGCAAACTGGACCTAATAAAAACAGAACGAAGCAAAGACAAAATATTCATGGTACCAACAGCCTTGTTTTTATTTGTTCCCGAAGCCCAAATAAACCCTTCATGAGGCTGGTTCTTCAAATCATTCCTTGGATTCCATGATCCAGGATAAATTCTTTTTGTTTAAGTTGGTTTGAGTTGGATTACTTACAGTCAAATCCGAACTGATACAAAGTCCAAATAAAAACAGTCCTCAAGTTACCCTCCTCCATAAAGACACCGAATTATCTTTCTAAACCATAAATCATTCCATATTATACCTTCCCCTTGAAATCCTTCAACAGTTTCCCACTGCCTAAAGTACTCATTCATTCATCACATATTTATGAGGAAACAACTCTGTGGTAAGAACTGCACTAAGTTCTAGGGATGAAATGATTATAAGATAGCTATGGTTCCCCCTCCTCAGAACTAGAAAAACAGACAAACGGAGGAAATAATAAAATTAGAAAATCATAATTTTACTTAATTAAATAATAATCAAACAACAGATGCTAAAATCCTCGGAATGTCTACAACTTACTTCCACATATATACTACAGAGAGCAGCAGGGAGGGATGAAAGAGCATGCACAACATTATAGATATTAAATGTACTATTTCAATTATTCTATTTACTTGAAAATTCTCATAGTAAGAAAGAATTAGGGAAAAATATGAATACAGAAGTAGGGTATTAAAACACACACATAATATGGTGTGATAAATCCACCAGACTGTAAGCAACTGAAGGCCAGGGGTATTAGAGCCTTCTCAAGATTTTATCCTTAGTACCAGACCACATAGCACATGCTCAGTAACTGTTAATGATGAAAGAATATGCATTTCATGTGGTCAGCAGCTTAATCTAAATTCTATTAGTGCATGAGAAGTCAACAGTAAAAAGTAATATTGCAAGGAACTTCCAAAATCACTACATTTAACTTCAGGATATGGTATTGGGAGAAAAGGGTACCATTTGGAAAAAGGGGATCCTTAACTCCCGTCAAAATAATTTCCAGATGTATTTAAGGTGGTGCCTGGGTAGCTCAGGTCATGATCCCAGGGGGTCCTGGGATCAAGTCCCATGTCAGGCTCCCTGCACAGCAGGGAGTCTGCTTCTCCCATACCTTCCACTCCCCGCTTCTCCCGTATCTTCCACTCCCCCCACTGTGCTCTCTCGCGAGTGCGCTCACTCTCACTCTAATAAATAAAATCTTAAAAAAAAAAATAATACTAATATAAAAAAATGGAAAAATTATTTTAAGTCTTAAACTGAGGAAAATCCTTTCTAAAAATGACATAGAATCTAGAATAAAAGACTAATTTATTGAGTAAAACAATAACAGATCAAATGTGACGAAAAAATTCCTAGGGGTGCCTGGGTGGCTCAATTGGTTGAGCGTCCAACTCTTGATTTCGGCTCCAGTCATGATCTCACGGTCATGGGATTGATCCCCACGTCGGGCTCCATGCTCTGCTTCTCTCTCTCCCTCTCCCTGTGCCCCTCCTCCCACTCATGTACTGTCTCGCTCTCTCTCTAAAATAAATAAATCCTAAAAAAAAAAAAAAAATTCCTAAGGAGAAGAAAACACAAAGCAAACCAAAAGATTAAAGATAAACTGGTTGAAAAGACTTTATCATATATTCTATGACAAAGGGTCATTTCTCTAATGAATAAAAGATTAAGATTCTTATACCTCAATAAAAATACAAACAACCAAACACACATATAAAAGGATTTGAATGGACATTTCACAGGAAAGGAAACATGAAGGATGAGCTATGCTTATAAGTGAAATGCAAATTAATAATTCAATGAGATACCATGTTCACATAGCAAGTTGGTAATGACAAAAGGTTTTGATAACAGCCTGGCAGCTATGATATAGGCCAAAGCTGCCAGACACTGGCCCAAAGCCAAAAAATACATACGAAGAAGAGTTTGTGACATAGACCATATGTGAGCTGCAAAGCCTAAAATATTTACTATCTGGCCCTTGAAAGAAAAAGTTTGCCAACTGCTACAGTCAAATTGGTAGGAGTATAAACTAGTACAATCCTAATAAAGAACCAGGCGATATTTATGATACTTTAAATACACATACCTTTGAGCCAGCATTTCAACTTCTAAGATTTTATCCTACAGATATAATCTTTATTCATTTTTTAATTCCAGTACAATTAACATAATGTTTTATTAGTCCTATAGATATAATCTTGTAAGAGTACTATGAAAAAACATTTATAGCAGCAAAGACTGGAGACAGTCTATCCATTCATCAATGAGGCTAAATTAATTACAATACATACCTACAATATTATATTATATGGTCATAAACAGAACGAGGTAGCTTTATATGAGTTTCCCAGGTTAATTAAGTAAAAATATCTAAGTGGCAAATATATTTTTCAAAAAATTATGTGTGTATATAATATCTTTCATTGGTTTTCTACGAATATCATAATTGGGTAGCTAGAAAACAGAAACACCAACTTTTCAAAGCACACCTTTAGTATCTTTTGAATTCTGAAGCACATGTATCTATCATTTATTAAAAACAAATTTTCTATCCTTATTTGAAAATGCACTTGAGATTTAAAGCTTCCTCAGAGACAGCAATTTCTAACAAAGCATCTAATTTGAATTTGAAATTTTGCTAGTTATCACCCAAGAAATCTGTAGGCTAAACAAATCTTTATGAGGTTAAAACGTAAGTACTAGTTATATTAAGCTACGTAATTAACTGGACAAGAATTCTACTCATCCTTGAGGCCCAAATAATCAAAAGAAATAGCTTCTGTTTTTCAGAGCCTAAATCTACAGAACAAAACATGACACTACATTTATTTGGGGATCACAGAAGCTAGTGAAACACTTGAAAGCATAAATTTCTCATGGAAGACTGCTAGCTGTTAGACACTGTGAACATGCTTGGCATATGTTAGGAAAAGCAAGGACCATATGGCTGGAACTAAATGAGTGAGAGGAAGAGTACTAAAAAATGAGAAGAGAGAAAAAGCCAGACGATAGGTCTATTATGAATTTGCAGACCACAGGAAAAAATACAATATATTCAAGTGTGAAAGGAAGTCATTAAAAGATCCTGAAGAGGGATTAACATGATTTATATTTTACAAGGATCACCCTAGCTTCTGTATGACTTCTTTAAGGCTGTTAAATGTTACAGGGAATGAAGAACAGAAGCAGGAAGAACAGTTAGGAGACTACTGCAATAATCCAAGGAAAAACTGGTGACTAAGACCAGGATAGTAATGGTGAATGTGGGGAGAAACAGTCAGATTTGGGTATATTTTATTTTTTCATTTTTATTTTATTTTTTTTTAAAGATTTTATTTATTTGACAGTGAGAGATACAGCGAGAGAGGGAACACAAGCAGGGGGAGTGGGAGAGGGAGAAGCAGGCTTCCTGCTAAGCAGGGAGCCTGATGCAGGGCTCAATCCCAGGACCCTGGGATCA